TTGAACCTCTTTTACGCAATTGGGCTCTTAAATGCTACTTTGGGTTTAGAAAAAGAATGATATATTTTCCATCTTTAATTTTATGATAGAGAAATACGTTTTCACATTTTTAAAAATATTTCTTAATGTTTAGTTCTAATATGTATTTGATGCAGTCTGTAAGACTAGTTTCTGTTTTTGGATTCCTTGTGTTGCCTTATAGGAAGCAATAATGATATATCATCCATATAGTGACTACAGTGTTGTCCTTTAAAATATTATGAAATACATCATAAACACATAGGCTGTTAATAAATCAAAAAAGAATGTTTAAAATTCATATTATCAATATAAGTTACGAAAGATGTGTATTTCGCACTATATTCGTGTACAGATACAAGGACCCATTTTTTAAGACTAAATTAATATCTACCATTGCAAGTTCTAATCTTTCAATAACGTTATCAATTAATGGCAGCTGAAAGCGATAGCAAATTATTTTCTTTATTTCAGATGTCTATAATCCACACATAAACGATACAAACAGTACCTTTTCATGTAATGCATTATTATTACTGTAACCCGAAGAGCTAAAATTTTATGGTTTCTATATGAAACCACTCAGACATCTATTTATCAATTTCTCGCTTTTTAGCACTAGAAAACTCCCGGCACCATATGGACCGGAAAATCGTCTCACAAAACCAGCTGCATCTTCAGAGCAGATAATTTTATTTTATTCGGCTTATAATTCGTTACTAGTTGCAGCATTTCTTTCTACAACTCAAATCGATTTCTTCATTTTTATATACGTCAGGCATGCATTTTAAAAAAAAATTTCTTTTAATTTATCACAACTGAGTGATAATTCTAGAGCGAATTTTTTAATGTTCATTCCCTTTTCTTTTACAATTAGTTCTTCTTGTTGTATAATATTTATACCTATGGCGTATGGAGATTCAGATCCCACGATAGTATAGAGACATAATATAGTATTTAACATTTAATTAAACTAAATATTATTTGCAAATTGGAATATCGGAGAACAGTGTACTGCAATGCCGTACTGGAGAAAACTGACTGACTGTTTTCCTGAGTGGGGAGCTGAGTTGCGATATCGATGCGATCGCTACGAAGTATCTCCCCAGTGAACAAAATGACAAACAATAAGACAAAATGATGCAAAACGTTTTGAAGTAATTCAGAAGTTTGAATAACTATGTAAAAATACAATTTTCATGTAAAATCATTCATATTCACATATCATTCATAAAAGAATTAATACAACACAATAAATATGCAAAAATGAAAGAACTGTGACTACTCGAAGTACTATAAAATAAAAATAATTCAATGTGTTGGATAACGGTGATAATGAACACGTTCTCTAAGTGTTTCGTACATTTCAAATTCGGTGCTTTTGGATCACTTTACGTAACTTTTGGTAACTGAGCAGGATTCAGAATTACAATGAGCATATATACAGTGTTAATTTAGTCAACATATATGCAGGTTTTAGACGATTAATAGATACTGCCACATTTTTATCATTTATTCTTATTACAAAATCTTTTCCCTTTCTGTGTTGAGCAGGATGGTGACTATGTAGATGGATGCTATTAGTGCGCAAAAACAAATGAAAGCAAGTTTGCAATGCGAGATTTGCATAAAATGATTTAATTTTATGATGAAATGTTGAAGTAGGTTTTGGAGACTACATTAATGATGCAGGATAGTTGCACACAGCTATCTTAATGAAGAGATACGTAAGTATACGATATAATGATGACAAATTACTATACTGATAAATAATATCAGAGGATAATCTAAGAGTTTTCCTGGATACTTATTCTGCACATGAAGCATTTATGTCAGATTTCATAGTAAATCGAATGCGTAGCAATATAATGGGGATAGTTTCAGTCCATATGGAATTACCATGGGCTGTTAAAGCAAATTTAAGAAAACGCCACAATCCGTTTAATTGCTGATGATAGGAAGTTGGGCCAAGGCGCTCCGAAACTAGAATATTTTTGTAAGTTGGCGAGATAAGGGATATTCAAAATTCAGTCTTTAGTTTGTTGTGACAGATCTAGAAATCTAACTATGAATCAGTGTCTTAAAAGGTAGATTCTACAGTCATATTTTTAAAGTTAGTATTAGTAGTTCCGAGCGTCTGACGAAACGGCCAATTATTGTCATACAATAAGTCTACCCTTCAGATGTAGTAGACTGAGAGGGCCGGTAATTTCGATATGAATATGAGCAAAGCGAGTATCTGGTATAGAAAATGTACATATGGCCTATTTGGTGAGCCTTTGAGTTTTAGAACGTTGGCAATTTTGACATTTCTGAACTACTGTTTTTATGGTTATTTTCCGTATTGGGCCAAACATAACATTTTGTAATGACTGAATTGTTGCTGATGATTCTGGATGAGAAATATTATGAATATTTTCAAAAAACGTGGAAAAAAAAGTAGTTTGGGATAAAAGGCCGAGGTGAGTTAGTAGACATATCACAAAATAGAGTTACCTCTACTAGAGAAAAGTTATGTTTTTCGAGTTTAGAACTGAACTGTTAAAGCTCGGCATCTTACATTTCTGCCAAGAACCATACTTTTAAATATCTACATTTTCTTTTGAATACAGACATCAGCATTGATATTTTCAGTCCAATTTACATGTCTAATAACATGCCTGTTGTCACTGGTCCGTTACAATGCTCTTCCTTGCAAAGGCTGACAGTTTTCGTCACAACACGTATCTGATGATGATGATGTCGTGTCTATGACAAAGTGCAATTATATAGCTTCGAAGCTGTCAAAGACAGCTTTTGCAACCTCGGCAGTTTTATCAGTATAAAGTAGGTCCACTGAGTTTTCAAAGTTGCTGGTTTAAACAGCCTGGCCTGGATTGCTGGGCAGCTGAAGATATGATGGCGAGACAATGGGATGTCATCTGGGCAATGAGGACAAATGGTGGTGTAACCACGCTGTCCGTCTGCAGAAATCCTCATCCCTTTTAAGTGATTTTTCAATGCGTTGATTAATTTGCGCAGGAAAAAATAAAAGTTGTTGCCTTTCGAAAATTTTGAAGTCCTTTCGAAAATTTTGAAGTCAATTTTCGAAAGGCAACAACTTTTATTAACTATAACAGGACACAATAGTTGCCTTGCAAGCATTGGCGAAGTATTCAGCATTAGAATCTCAAATGTCTGCGAATATGAACATAGTTTTAAAAAGCAATGAACTGGCCTCGGAGATCAAATTGGATGAATATAATAGGCTCGTAGTGCACATTTCTATAACCGTAACCATGAGAACTGTATTGCTTTAAGTCACCACAATCTCAAGCGCATACTTTCAAATATCAACATCTGAAATTTCATTTCGATGGATTGAGCGAAGAGGCCGCTAGGGTTTTATATATTGGCAAGTTTTTTATGACCTTCCTAAATATACATATATATCTAAATAAATAAATTAAAATTAAACTTTGAATAAAATTCCTTTCAAAACTTAAATCCCGCGCAGATGCTGAGATTCAAGTACATGATTATTAGTTGAGATAAATTATAATTTATCCAGGCAATTTTGTTACTAAAAGACTTATGTATTGTAAAAAATCTCAAATAATTTGTACTAATTATTGACATTTTTAAATGTTTGAAACTGTAAAAAGGTTAAGCTAAGAGAATAGTTTTTGTTATGAGAGAATTTATTTCTAAATAAAAAGAAGCTTTTATTAACAAATTAAAAATAAAACAATTAAATTATGTAGTTGATTAATTATATTCAGATTATAACGCCATCAGGAGCGGATTTTCTTGTTTCCATAAAACCTTTCTGTCTTCCTTAATAATTTCCTTAATAACTAAAATTCTTCAATTATTTGCACTTCAGAAAATTAAGAATTCCAGTCTTGCGATTTAGAAAGACCAAAAATCAAACAAAAAATGGTTACTAAGTTTCTGAAGTAGAAAAAAAGCTCCGTTGGCTTTGTTAAATATACAACGGGAAATGACTAAATTCCGAAAAATATACTAACAAGTTATAAATAAATACTATAACTACAGAAAAACTAAAATATATATAATCAAGTGATAATTGAAATAGTTAAATCAATAAAAATTTCAAACTTACTAATAAGAAGAATATTTTTATCAATTAAAATGTTGTATAAATAAATATTATATTAATATTAATCAAAAGTGAAACAAAAGAAACATTGTTTTCAGTTTTGATTTATATTAAATATTCTTCTTGTTAATAAGTCTGTCATTTTTAAATATTCTATAATAATGCTCTTAAAGAAATGAATACTGTAGTCACCTCTTTAGAATCTTTCGGAAGCCAATCTACACTCTTCTTTTCAAATGTGTATTGTTATATATAAGTTTTACGATGTACTAGTTATGTATTTAGAGTTTGACAATCTGACATCAAATTTCAAACATTTAGCTTAGAAACGGATTAATTTAACATTGTGAAGATAAAAGAATTCTCCCAAAAGATGTTTCTTTCAGTGTGTGTGTGTATGTGTGTGATTATGTCAAAGCCTTCGAGGGCTATCTGCCTAAGGGAAGGGATGCCTTCGTGGAGGACTTTCTAAGGGAAACTGGCTCGTATACACGTTACGCATGGGGAAAACCACGAAAACGCCCATGCAGCCAGCCCGTTCGCGGGATTCGAACCTCGGACCGAACTACCAGTGTTCAGCGACTTTACCGCTCGGCCGCGATGTTGCTTTCAGAATAAAGCAATACAAGCACTATTAAGTGAGTATTAAAAACAACTAGCGGCGTTAAACTGGATGATTGTTGTACTATAAAGAAAGCGTGATAAAGTCAAATTTCATTTATGAAGAAACGTGATTTTTTTTTATGTTATTAAGGCCTCTGCCGTAACCATGGAATACATGCCTATATTTTACAAAATGCTTTAGAAACCAAAATTAATAAATATATGCATGTCTCTTTAAAGCATTTTGCATCCTTTTTATTTATTTTTTTAATAACAGGACACAATTGTTGCCTTGCAAGCATTGGCGAAGTATTCAGCATTAGAATCTCAAATATCTGCGAATATGAACATAGTTTTGAAAAGCAATGAACTGGTCTCGGAGATCAAATTGGATGAATATAATAGGCTCGTAGTGCACACTTCCAAAATTCTTATCTTGCCAGCTGTTGTTCAGTTACAAGCTATTGGCAAAGGATGTGCTCTAGTGCAAGTAAGATCGTTCTTTATTTATAGAGTTTTATTGGATAATAATATTTTGAAATGAATGTAGAAATTAAATATAATGTACCATAATTTTCAGTTCAAACCAAATCAAGAAATCTGTAGGTGTAAGGATAATGTTTTTGAACATTCCAGTTTTTAATATAGAATGGGAAAATTAGAGGATAAAAAATATCAAATATCATTTTATCAAATCATAAATTGTATAGAATTTTCTCCAACGTAACAATTTATTTCAATACATCTTAGATAATTTCCCTCTCGAAGTTTCTGTAGAGTGAAGAGACGTGCTTACATTAGGTTAAAGGAACTTCTGACTCTTATCGCTAATCCTAGATGGTTAATGCGTTTGCCTCAATAGATCTCAAAGATACCGTTCTTCAAAATCCGAGCTAATGTCTAAATTTTAATTTATTTTAATATCAGTTCAAGATATTCCTAGAGAGTCTTCCATTAAATTCCTCTGACGAATTCATTTACATTAACACTAAATTTTGTGTGTGGGGAGGGTCAAAGTTTAATCATTTTTGGAAAATACCTAATGTTAGAGAAAAGCAAATCAGAAAATAAATAAGACTTAAATAAGTATGCACTTTCATTTAGACATTGATTTTTATTGATAGGTTTATTTTAATTTTCTAATAGTTTTTTTTTTTTTTTTATTTTGGAATAAGATTTTCCTTTATTTTTTTATTTCCCACTTACGATTCCCTACCAGAATAAGTTTTCAGAACCGTATTTTTTGTATAAATGAGGTAGAAACCAGTATTTACGTTGAAGTCTCTGTCAATTCACTAGAAAAGCTTAGAAGCATGGAGGTAAGAAAGGACTTACTTCCTACTTCCATGCTTAGAAGAACCTAGTACAGTGCGTTCGGCCTTCTGGCCACGTCGTTGCTTTAAGTTTATTCTTAGGTTTTTTCGGCTGTATTGTTACGTGGCCGCTAGTATTCGACGGTGATCTTTAATAAGGCCCAAATTTTTTACTATTTCTGTGCAGCTTCGGTTGGTTTTAGTTTAGTTAGTATTGTATTAGTTTCTTATTTTCTATCTTAAGAGGGGTGGCTTACTATAAACCCGAGAAGAGGTCATCTGTTAAACAACTTGAGTTGGAATAAAGGGCAAATTTAACCCTTCTTTGAACTTGTCATTTTCGTACTAGAACTCGGTGATAACTCCTCTACACATTTTCTTAAGTAATCTAGCCTTCACATGTTAAGTGTAACTTGCAGACTTTAATTCTTTTGCGAAAGCAATAGTTTTACAATAGTGTTGGATCATTTTCGATCTAATTAATAAACGGAGGAGGAAAGTTTGCAAACTCTTCTACCTCGGCTGTAAATATTTCCGCTAAAATTTACCACGATTATCTCGATAAAGTCAAGGCTCGTTTAAGCTAAATCTCAGTCTTAAATTGCTCTGTACCACTGTATAATTTAAGTGTTAGATTATTTTTAATATCATTTTGCTCATACTTTAAAATTGTGAAATTTTTCATTATTGACTATTTCTAAGGCGATTTTATTTATTTCTTACCATTAATTTGTTTAATCATTCAAATTATTATATGTTTATTACATTTATTTTTATAGTTTTCTGTGAGGTATAATGTCAAAGCCGTTACGGAAAACGAAGCTTTTGAAATCAGTATTAACGTTTTCCATGAAGAGAACAGCTTCTGTACGAGACCGCGTATTCATATTTGCGTAAGGTAAAATCTTTACTCTTATTGGTTGAAGGACAGTTTATTTTATTTTAATATGTACTGTTAATCTGTCTCAACATTCTTGCAAATAGCTCAAATAAATGTCATTTGAATCCACATACTTTTAAATCGAATGCAGACAAAATCTCATCTTTAATAGAAATCTTTAATAGAAAAAATCTTTAATAGAAAGTTACGAATTTTTTTTACTTTCACTTTTACAATGATGTCCCAGGATATGTTTTTCATTTATAGTCATATAAATCAAACAAAACCGTTTATGGTATGTAGCTACTATTTACCGAAATTTTGGGAATGTTCGGAGAATATATTTACATGTTGTCACTCGAGAAAGAAGCAAATTGTTATCCCAAAGGGCCGTTAGACGCCTCTTTGGGGCCTCAAAACGGTATCTTGTGTAGTTTAGTTTGTGTAGTTGGTTCAGTTTTCAATCTGTTACTACCAAATGTTATCGCCATGTATTATATTTATAGAAAATAAATAATGAAGGATCTGCATGAATGTATGAATATTTCTTGCATTGTGAAAACACAACGGTAACTAGAGACAAAAAATTTTGAATAACCTAATCCACCAAACGAACATAGGCACTTGGAAGCCCGAATTTTGAATTTCGAATTTGTTTTATCTTTTATTTCAAATTTTGTAAAACATTAACGAATTTTAACAAACTCAATAGTTTCAAAGCGAGCAATGGCAACACTGTACGGAAAAAACATTTTCATCATCTCCAGCGCGCGAGCCTGGGAATCGGAAATTCTAAAGATATGCTGTTTTGCTGTTTATAAATATTTCTGGATGTTGTAATTGAATTGAATTTTATGAAGTTTAAGGGTGAAGAACATTATATTTAGTAAATAAATGTAACTAACAAAACGTTAGAAAAACGTTCTTTTGGGCCTATTATAAAATCTGAAAGCTTTCAGGTTAAATTTTCTTTTTAGATTTTTAGTTTAGTTGTTTGAGGTTATAACTTACCTCACGTTATTTCTGAATTTATTTACAGTGTTCCCCAAAAGTGTTCGCACACTTCAAGAATTTACAGAAAAGTGCTGAAACCATGAAATGAATTCGAATATAAAAGCCCAATATATTTTCATATCATCTCCATTTGATTTTGAATAAACCAAACATTTTAATTTTTAACACTGACTTATTTTCTTTTTCTAAAATTGAAAAATGTAAGAAGGCATAGTTAAAAAACGCCACAAAACTTCTTATACACCATTTAAGTTAAAATTTCATAAATAAAACTATCGTCTACCACTCTTTTTATTTCTGCGTTTTGTTGACGTTTAAAAAATTCGTTGGCTTTGTTTTTTGTTTGCTTGTTTTGCTATATTTTATTTAATGTTTAAAAATGTATTGTAGTCGTAAAGAAGCAACGAACAGCATTCACAAATTGATTATATTTTATGGTAAGGATGTAAATTCTGTTCAGGATATCTCTAAATTAGCAAATTTATATAAGCATGAAGAAAATTTTTTGTGCATGAAGAAAATTAAGTGCAAAAAAATAGATAGCTTAGGCTTTCTTCTCAAAATCAATGATAAATAGGCCTGAAGTGCAAAGGAATCATTTGTTATTTGCAATTTGATGAAAGCAAATTTAACATTTTGGATTCCGATGGGCACATAATTGTATGAAGGAAAAAAATGAGCATCTTAATCCCAAGATCTTGGTTGGAACAGTAAAGCATGGCGGTTGAGATGTTCTTGTGTGAGGGTGCATGTCAACATCAAGATTAAATAACATAGTATTTATTGAGAGTGGACTGAACCGTGATCTTTATTTAAATATTTTAAAAGGTAATTTAAAATTATCCACTCAAAATTTGGATACTGGAAACAACATTATTTTTTATCAGAGTAACTATCCTTAGCGCACGGCCCCCAACGTTCGCCTTCTGGGTGTATATAATTGTCCTTAAGTTCTGAAAGCACCACCTCAGTAACCAGATTTAAACCCAACAGAACATATTTCGAGAGAATTAGAGGTTAGAGTACAAAGACACAACATTAAAAGAAAAACCGAACCAAAAGCTGTAATGATGTAATGAAGGAATCATTGATGCAGATATTAAAAAAAACCTGCTTACTCTATGGCCAGAAATTTGGAAGCTGTCATAAATACTGCAGGATATACTACAAAATACTAACTGACATAAATACTACACTATATACTAATATATGCAGATTTCTTTAAACCGTACGAAGACTTTTATGAGGTAACTTTTCTGTCAGTTTTTTATTATTGATTTTCCAAAGAACAGTTTTAATATGTTCATAAAATATTTAATGTAGTTTTACTAAGAGAAACTTGTAGATATTATTAAAATTGAAATTACGTTTCATTAATGAAAAAAGCAATAGTTCAGTGAAACTAGTAAGCGTACGAACACTTTTGTGAGCCACTGTAGATTGTATTCCAAGATGAAAATTTGCATCGTAAATGCAAATTTTTATGTAAGCCAAATATTTTCTTTCCTTTGTCAAATGAAATAAAAAGAAAAATTAATCTTGTCGAAGATCTGAAGATATTGGTTGTCATTAAAATTTATATAAACAAATGAAATATTCTTTGCTTGCTCTAACTGAATTGCTCCAAATATTTATATTAAAGTAAATAGGGAGCTTAGAAGAGTTTTGTGTTTCAGAAACTTTAATTATAAGATGAGTAAAATATTAAAACTACATATTTACTAATATCTCCTTATACTAATATCTTCTTATTCAATTAATAAAATTTAATTTCAATTTTTTATTATTTTAAAACTCTTAATCTGAATTTCATAAATATGTAAAACTGCTGTCAATAAAAATATTGTCTTTATTTTTTGATTAAAGGAATATCTTTTACTAATTAAACACGCGTAATTAGTTAACCGCCTCAGTTAGAGAATATCTTTGCCTGGACATGAATAATAATGTTATTTATTTAATAATTAAATTAATAATAGTTTATTAAGTGTAATTAGTAATAAATGTATAATTTTACTAATACTTGATAAAAGAATGTTGTTTCTACTAGCTAACCACATAAATTTCGATCTATCTTAAGATTCTAATCTTCTTTCTATTGCATTATCTAGTCATTTTTAGAATAAAAAATACGGACTAGTTTCTTTTAAGTAGGCAAGTGAGTCTTTTAAAATGATACCTAATAAGATGATTTACATCCACAGGTATATGAACAATAACGAAACATCTAATATGGTTGTGGTTGCAGTAAAAATGGTATCAGGGTTCTTACCAAGAGAAACGAGTCTTGATGAGGTAATTAGTTAACTTTTATAACATTTAAAGAAGCATAAGCAAAGCCTGCTTATCTCAAACGGAATTTCTAAACTTGTATGTTTTCTTTTATTCAAATTATAATGCGTTAAAGTGAAATATCACAGTTTTATTTTTCATTGGTGTTGCTTATTATGAATACGTGTGCGTATTCTAGTCATCAAGATATGATGAACAGACTGTTTTTATTTCGCAGCTAAAATCAGATCCATCGATACAGTTGAAAGGTTATGACGTAGAAGGCAATCTCGTCAATCTCTACTTTAATGAAGTATGTAAATTTGTCTTTGTAACATGATATTTGTGATCAGTTTTGTGAATGTTTCATAAATGTAAGCAATTTCTGAACGAAATTTTGATCAATTATTTATAACAACACTGCATAACTTCCTTGCGAAAAGGAGCCTTTAGTGAACTATTTTATTTTATTTGATGCAAGGTTATTTCAATAAGTTTAGTATTTAAATAGGTAAATTAGGTAAGCCGATACCTGGATGAATTTTATATCACGAAAACTGTCAAAATGAAGATATAATTGCTTGCGTCAACTTCAGAGCCGGGTTTAGATGCTGGGTAAATGAAGAGGCACACGTTGGTTGTTCTTTTAGCCAATAGAAAAACGTTATGCTTGGAATAGATTTAATTTATATTCTATCGATTTTGGGAGTCCTATGCAGAAGACGATAATTGTTTTAAGAAATATTTTATAAATTAGTATTAAGATCTAATATGATTTCTAATAATAAAAATACAGGAACCTGCATTCAGTGATGCAATGGTTAACGCTGTTAGTAGTAATTACAGGAATAATAAATTATATCAATACTCCCAAGGGATTAGACCTGAAATGGATTTCAAAAATTTAAGTGTTAGTTATAGTAGCAAGAAATGTTATTATTTTTGTAATATTTTATTATTTATATATATATATATATATATATATATATATTATATTATCTTATTTTTTTTTTAATTATTTAATTATATATATATATATTTTGTAAAATATTTTATTTATTACGTTATATCAAATAAGTATACCAGTATTCCAGTGACGTAGTAACGATACTCGGTACAAATGATACCTTCAAAATGTTCCGAGATTAACTACCAGTTTATATGAATAATCTACAAAAATTGTGTCGTAGAGTAAATATAACATTCCTATGTCAAAATAGCTAGCATCATTTACACTGTGTCTACGAGAATAAGTGGTGAGATTTTATGAGTAGGTATTTTATTAACTGGTTCGAAAGTGCTTTCGCTTCATTCAGTCAGTCAACAAGATTATTGCATGCGCATTATGTGCATAAAAAAGGGGAATCGTTGTGCATTAAAATGACATTTAAATGATTCTATTAATCGCTAATGTGAGCATATTTTGTGCCCTGAAAATTCACATGTGACACATAAACTCATACGCAATTGCTTTAAAATCAGTGAGGGGTAAAATCTAACTAATAAAACGATTTTTGGCCTTTTTTTTTCCTTTCTTGAAATTAATATCACTTCGAGTTAGTATCTGGGTACACTGCAGACTCTCATATTCCCTTAAATCAAGTAAATGGATGCGGAAAGTACTAAGTTATAGGTCTTCTTTCAGCCCGATGTTGCACCTTTCCACTTTCAAAGTCATATTGGAGAAAAAAAAATCATCGACTTACATGTTGGTGATTTGACAAAAATTTAGATATCGCCGTAGAATGTTCGGACATTGTATCAGTTGATTTCTTCTTTCGAAATTTATTCAAAATGATACTGACAATGAACAAGCTGGTAATTCATCTGTAGTGGAACATAATTTAATGTTTCTATATAATTATTAAGACTTCCTAAGTGGCAATATGTTGTAATGTTTTGAATAATTATTAAGCTTCGCTGTGTGGCAACAACTAGTCGAGCTAAAAATGTCGTTACTTGGAGTGTTCCTTGATAAGCGTTGCGTAAGCTTTATTTCTTAAAAGTTTGTTTATATTTTTATGTAAAAAATAATAACATGTTGCAAACAAAAATGGAAATTGTAAAAATTATTATACTGTATCTTTTAAGACCAAAATAAGCATTTATTTCACTTATGAAATGCTCTGGCTGATCAGTTTCGATTTCGCTTATTCATCAAATCCACATATCCACTTCAAGAGAGAATCGCACAAGCAGTTGCAAGAGACGCAGATATAATTTACATTCTACGCTCCGAAATTACATATCACTAAAACGTTAAGCATGTTGTTAATGGTGCCTGCTTTAACACATACTAATTTATTTCGGATTTTCTTTGATTAACTGATCCCAAAAGAGCACTTGCAATCCATTTCACACGAAACATATTTTACACAAGCTTAGTCAGATCTGCTTAGTTCTGCATAATTCCTTTTTACAGACCCTGTACTATTAAGGGGTTATCACTTCTAGCGACAGCCCCTGCTAAACGGGACCTTTCTGAGAAACGAGATTCTGATAGCACAGGTTTAAACGGGAGGATTCCTAGAAAAAAAAGAGCCCCGCTGGATGAAGTCCCGCCTAGTTATGTAAATGATGTAGCGGCTACGCGGGATTTTCTCGAACTACCGAAAGCGTCTCGGCAGATACTCTGTCCCGGGTAGAGATCAACCAATCAGACGAAAGTTCTGCTTCTGAAGGATCACGTGGTCCCAATCTGAGCGATAATCGATTACTGTTTGGCGTTCAAGTTTTTGTAGTAAGTGGAAATGGTAACTTAGCTACGTGTGTTTCCTGGAAATGTGGTGTTTCTGAGAATTGTCCCTTTCGACGTCCCGTCCCGCGTAGCCGAAACATAATGTAATGAGGACATTAGAAAGCGTAGTTCCAAAGCGGCCTAGAACGTTCTTATTAAACAATAACTAGCAGAGAGCGTTGTAGCTACCTTTGGGAGATTCCCAATAATCTTCTTATTTTTTCCCTGCTAATTCTTCTTTCTTTTTCTTTTTTAATGTAAACTTAGCAATTCTGTCCATAGTATCTGTTTTTTCAAATACAATTATCATAAAGAAAGGTTTCTTGTAATGGCTGGAACAGAGTTATAAAAGCTCGTTTTCTGAGGCGCACCAAAGATGATTTGATAATTAACTCGCCTTTTCTTAAAAAAAAACCTTCCTTAGTTCTTTGAACCTGTTTTCTTCTATTTTATAATATACGTCAATATACCTATGTCCAGTTGTTTTGATATGCTTCAATATGAGTTAGATAAAGTTATGAGTTAGATAAAGGATTCGTTAATTATCATTTAATTATTTAGTTTTCGAACGAGCAAACATAAGTTGTCTTATTCAAATTTCAACAGTCTGAAACTCAGTCAAATTAGAATTTTAATAATATGCTGTGAGACTAATACATTCGAGTACTAATATATATGTGCACGCTCACTTTAAGAATTCAGCAAAACTGTAATAAATTTATATAATTTATTCATTGTGTTTATTTGAATTTTTGCAGCTTACAGATATATGTAAATGCTTCAGCTTTGGCATAAAGCAAGCATACCAAGTAAAAAACGTGCAACCAGCAACTGTGAAGGTATATGATTACTATCAGCCAGGTAAATCCGATTAGTTAATTTATATAAAAATTTATCAGTTGTTTTCTCAAAAACAAGCAACACAACATTCAAACTGAAGGGGAAAAGTACATCAAAACGCTCATAGTTTTAAATGGGTTAGGGAGATAATTTATTAAAACTGTTGCACGTAGCACGAAAATTTTGCATTTAAAAGTGGAATCATTTTAAATTATCTGTAATTACAAATGAAGGTTTAAGAATTTAATTTAGAGAAATTAGAGAAATTCACATCAGGCGGAAGAATTAGGCAACAACTGAAAGTAGCTGCAGTATTAATATCATTTCTACCTGAAAGTTTGGTATCATTTTAAAGTTGAAAAATTCTGTTTACGAAATTAAAAAAAAAAATTAGCTTATTTTAATTGTAAGAAAGAATGTTTTCGAGAAACGTCTGAAACAACTGTTGAAACAATTTTACAGTAGTCTGAATTTCTAGCTATGTTCTGTAAATTTGCTGCTATCTTCAGCAGTTTCATTGTGTTTCTTTAAACTTGAAAATTTGACTTGAAATTTCTGTTTTCTAACTGGGAGATGAACAGTTGAAAATTCAATTTGATTCATTCATGCCATTTACCAGTATTGAAAATAATTTGTTCTTGCCCTGTATTTCCAAACGTATCCGTTGCAGTTGCTATGAACATCTTCTAAAACTTACAGTATTTAAATCTAAAAATTTAAGCGATATCCTTTAGATTTAAATACGCCCAAGTAAGCCAGTGCATTTTACAGTGAAGGATGAGAATATCTGACATTTCATAATATTCTTTTAATTTTCTTCCGTTAACCTTTTAGCTCTGATTTTATTCCCAAAAATTACGACTAGTATCATAACATGCTTCAAATTTAGAGTTTATCACACGGAAGCTTTTCAATGTTATTTAAATATAAAAACGATCTGAAATCCTTTCAAATGGAGGTACAGTCTCAAGCATTCTGTCTAGCATCTAACAGTGCTCCGTCGAAGCAAACACTAAACAACTTATCAGACTCTTAAGTAACTGAATTTCAAGGCCAAAAAGGTCTCACAATTATAGCTTTTCTATGACGTGTCTCAAGATGGATGAATTCTTCAAAAACTCATCTTCGAAGATATTACAATTTCTATTATTTATTCTTATAAATATTTAATTTAGCTATCATTATATATATCAACGGATTTGACCAAAGCTAAGGGAAAAAATTAAACATGAATCTGATCAGTTGTTCAGTAGCATCGTGTGAAAGCTCTTTGGTGCATCTTTATATACCTGGACACAGTGCAATGTCATTTACTGTACACTCATCATCAAGATATTTTACAAATTTTTTCAGAACAAGGCTTTACCTCCTGTCTTAACGCAAATTATATGATCCTAATTTGAAATTTAAAAAAGATAATTTTTCTTCTCATTTTATTGAATCGAAACTTAAATTTTAGCAACAACGACTACAAACTAGCTTTCGAAAATATGATCGCGGTTAACAAATGGCAAAATTAATGTGTTATGTAGTGTAAATTTTGAATACAAAAAATTGGTTTTTATCATTTTCGCTGAAAATAAAGTTTAAATTTAAGCAAATATTAAATCTGCACATATTAGAATGAAAAAGATAAATGTTCTGATGTCAGAAATTTTAGCCGCACCTTATTTCACTATGGACCACCTATTTTAGTATTCTAACTCTTGTGCTGTTGGCTGTTATTGATGGTTCTTCTAAACAATATAAAGGCAACTTTACACGTTTCAGAACTGCGCAAATTTTCGTAAATATTGCATCTACTATGCGATTTGCTATTTTTCAAGCACATACTGCTGCAAACGGACCAAGATTTTGTAATAATACTTTGGAATTTTTCCCTCTGAAATATTTAATATAAAGTTTTGCATAAGAACTTCTTTGCATATTTTCAATCAGATTTAAAATCAGATATTTTCCCTTTTGTAATAGTTTGTGCATTAATAATAAACAAGTACGCTCCATATTTTTGGATTTTTATTAAAAACTGCTGCTGATATTATCAACATAATATTTTAGAGTTTGAATCTCAGTTAAAAATATTTCAACGTTAAATTTAAAAGCAACATTTCATTGTATTTTAATCATTTGCTTGATTCAGAAATATGACATGATAATTTTTTCAAGGTGATATTCTGAAATGTGACATCATCACTTATTCAGGTGATCATCCTTCAGGTGACATTCTGAAAAGTGACATCATAATTTTTTTCTGAAAAATGTAGTAAAGTGATCACACATACCTTCAATCAATTCTATTGGTATTGTAATTTGGTTGCGAATATTTATGGCTTTCTTATTAAGACTTTAGTTAGGACAGTATTTTCTCCATTATAAATGACTTTCTGGTTGAGAGAAATAAATCCTTGCCCTATTCCTTTATGAACTACTAAATGAGATGAGGTTTTCTACCAATTTTAAACTATGAACTACTGAAGAATATTTTTTAAAAAGTCTTAAATATGCCTCCGTAAACTGCGTATAGGTGTACACATGCATCATAAAAAGGATGACAATAATGTCACGTATTGATATGAAAATGGGCATGTGTTTCTACGATATCAGTTTTGTTAAAATGCAATAAATATACAAAGCAATTTTGTGGTAACATTTTGTTTTGAAGGTTCGTGCATACTTGTCAGTCAGATAAATTCTTTCCCCTCTGCCTCCAAATTTCATTTGAAATTGTATTGGATTAATACGTCATCAGATTTCTAAACAATGGTTTTTCTGGAATACTAAGATAGCAGTAAATTTGGATTTAAGAAACTTAGAGTTTGCATTCGGGAAACGGGATATCGAATGTCGCAAGAGTCTGTGAACACATGCAATATTTATGCATTTTTAAAATCGCGATAACTCGTAATTGCATCCTATTTTACTCTGCTCGATTCATGGCATTTCTTAACACTGACCAACTCAATGAGCCACTGCCTGATTCGAAAACATAAATAAATGAGGTCTTTGTATCACATAAGACTAAAGGAACATAGACAACTTAAAGGAACACAGACGTTTGAGATAGTCAAAGAATAATGTTGACAGTGTTGAAATTAACTGTTTTGATAAATGATTATGAACTCTTGCTTAAAGCCTTCTTAACTGTTACTTGCAGAACTTGAAGTAACAAAGAACTACTCTATTCCTTCGTCTTGTTTATCGGATGTACGTGAAAGCACTCATGAAAGTCATGCTTTGTCTAGCTTCGAAACCTCGTTCTCTGGTAAGTTTAATTTATTCACATAATATAATTACTATTGCAAGCTGCGGGTTCGTGGCTTTCATCTTAAATTATCACTATAGATAAGCAGAAAGAAATTGGTAACTTAATGCAAAGGAATACAATGAACAGAAAGTATTAATATTGCAAAAAGTTCAAGTAGATCGTGGATAATAAGCAAATCCTCCTTAGCGTGCCAGAAATATTGCAAATTATCGATATCATTCTAAGAAACTCAATACATTCTAGTTGAGCTGATAGAGCAATTTACACGCCGTTGGATTCAGTATTTAAGGGTCTATAATTACGTACAAGAAACAAACGCTTATGTTCAAAAATTCCACAAATTCTATTACACACAAAATAAAATCTAAAACTATTATTATAAATGCAAAAATTAAAGAAACAAATAAATAATGCAATACATAACATCACAACAATATATGAAATAATATTTTAATTGAAAAGACGTAATTATTAACAGAAATTTACAACATGACTTCGTGTTAAGGTCTGAACGAGCTGGCCAGTGAAGTCCCTAAAAACAACAAAAAACTAACCTTCGATATCAAAATGAGATGCACGTCCATCTCTACACCACTACTTTAGGCTTGAAGAAATAAGTTCTACACATCACTACGTCATTAAGCTTCTTCACTACACATAAAGGACCTTGCCAAGATATCTGGAGCTTGGATAAAATTCCTCGACACTACTTTGTCTTCCACAATCAGACTTGATCTCCTTCTTTGAATTTGATGCCATCGACCATGTATTTCGTTTTTATCTGTTTGGTCGCTGTGCTGATCTTTCCTCTCACGTACTGACAAACGTCTTTTAAACGCACCTTCAGATTTTCTTGGTACTAATTAGTCGAAAAAGACATCCCCTCAGCCTCAGACCAGATCATATCGTAGAGGAAGTTCACGGCTAAAAATTATTTGCGATGGAGATTCTTCAGTGCTGACATGAACGGCATTCCTTTAAGCTTCAGAAAGATTAATAGCAGTTTTGGTCCTAGTCCTGCTGGTAGATGGAGTCGGTATAAGAATAGAAAGAAATCGGAGAGAAATAGGGATTGTTATGCTAAGGGAGATATCTAGGATACTGTGTAATAGGTGGATGATTTCCTGTATCAGTCAATGTTGTGTCGCTTTTTTGTGACCAAAAGCACTAGATGAAATTGAGAAGGCATCTTTGAATTCTTCCTTTAAACGATTTGCATCCTGTATACACTTGACATATTTTTTTATCTGACTGTACAAGATTTTATTCAATTCATTTAAATTTATGTTTGATTTGAAAAACCGAATTTCTCATTGTTTAAAACTGTACTCTGCTAATAATGTAAGACTGAATATTTTATTTAAAAATATGTGCATGTTAATTTGAGAATTCGAAAAAACTTCATTCTTCCGATATAGCAGAATTTAAAATTCTGCAATTATGTTTCTGATTGATAAGCAAGGTTATGTGAGAAAATGTTCTGAAAGAATAAAAATAACTCTGTGCTGAATTCGGAAAAAATAAAGAGCAATGTACTATTGTAGTATTTTCATCCCAATTAACGTTTTGCACAACTTGAAAAAATTAGTCTTACTAAAAGGGAGGAATACACGGACACAAAACGGATACAAAAGTTCTGACTGACGAACTAAAAAATAGTATGTAAAATAAAATTGTGTTGAAATAAAAAATAGGAAGTCATCAGTAACAACATATTACTTAATCGAAGTTAATGAAACAGCATATCGAATTGGTAACGTAACCCTCGAAAGCAGATCGACGTCTTTTGTCCTGTAGATCTTTTTTAACGAAATACTTGTTTTTTCCGAATAGGTTTTTTTTACTAATAATAATTTGCTATAACCTTTCAGGTAAAACAGGTAGGCTGGATTGTCCTATATGCACGTACTCGTTTCCTGACAATTTCAAAGATGTATTTTGTACTTCTGATTTTGGTAAGTTTCTTTTTTCAGTGTATAAATTTTATATAAAAGTGAACATATAAAACAGTTGAAAGTTAACTGTTTTATATGTTAAGATTTTCGCAGCATTTATTCTATTTGTTTCCTGCAAGTAGGTTTCGTAGAAACAAGTAACTATGACGTGTTGCAATCTGTTTTTAAATTATTTCAAATCATTATAGCTGAACAAAATTCCTCAGGAAAGCACTGAAATGTATTGCATATTTGTTTAAAAATAATAGAAGAGTATTATTTTTTCATGACATAGAATCTTCTTGTGAATTTCAGGTTAAAAGGAAATCATTAAAAATCAAACTTTAAATGTTTCAGAACTGGTTATTTTACATTAAATTTTGAGTATATTTTCTCCTTTACAACATTCGAATTATGTCTTCCAGGTGTTAAGAACTGTAAAATGACCTCAAAGCTGTGACTAGAGTTTTCTTATATAATAACCTAGCATTTATATTTAACTACATTTTATTTTAAAGTAAGGAATAGTCATATGTTCGACAAAGAAAATCGCAAACATATTTATGTTAAACATAAAGAAATTACTTGCAAATTCTATGCATCCCTACTACGCTCAATGCTAGAGTAGAAATAGTAATTGCACTTTAGCATTGAGCGTAGTATTAGCTAGAGTACAAATTAGTAAATTTACTAATTTTGTAATTAATTAAATTTGTAAATTTGCTAATAACTATAGTATTAAATTTACTAATTATAAAGTTTACTAATTACTATTTGTACTCTAGCATTAGGTAGAGTAAAAATTAATAAATTTACTAATTTGTACTCTAGCATCGCATGCGTAAATTAAAAAAATTACCCAAAACCAACAGGCAATATTGAAAGAAAAAACTTATTGCTTTAAAGACTATTCTCGTAAGTTATTTTCCAGTTAAGTGAAATTCAGTGTAGCTTTAGTGTATCAAATATATTATCTTGTTTCTGGATACTTTAAATAACATAATCATTAAAAATTCTGAAAATATAGTCCGGATGTCAATGAGTACATTTATTTTTCAGTTTTAAAAGTAACTGTTACATCTAAAGAAGGAAATGTAGTAGAAATATTGCAAGATATGAGTTACGAGCAACATCCGCAACCATTTAAAATGTTTGCCGAAATTACACGAGATGACAATTGCCCCTGTAGACAGTTAAATCGAAGTAAGTAGATATCTTTTTGGGTTGGTAATCTTTCACTATTCCAGTTACTTTACTATTATTACAGTGTTAAAGGGCTCAATTTGAAGTTGATTTTTTTCCCCTAATTCCAATTACAACATCAACACAAAATTTATTTTGCATAAATGATTTCTCTTCATTTACTGCTGTTGTTTCAAACGGGCGGACTCCTGCAACTTAACAACATTTGTTAAGAACTGCCTATACCTTTCGGTCAGCCACCGAGATCACTACGAAGGGTGCACCAGAGGGGCTACCGAATTGCACTTGTTCAAGGAGCATGAACAGGAAATTTTATCCTAATTTGGAATGAAGACGCCCCATTGGATGGATCTGAATGGGTTTCAGCCGTCTTTCCATACCATAAATTTCTTTACTGCTGTTGTTTCAAACGGGCGGACTCCTGCAACTTAACAACATTTGTTAAAAACTGCCTATACCTTTCGGTCGGCCACCGAGATCACTACGAAGGGTGCACCAGAGGGGCTACCGAATTGCACTTGTTCAAGGAGCATGAACAGGAAATTTTATCCTAATTTGGAATGAAGACGGCCCATTGGATGGATCTGAATGGGTTTCAGCCGTCTTTCCATACCATAAATTTCTTTATAAAACTTCCAACTCACCAGTGTATTAAGTGCTCCATGCTGCATAGCCACTATACTCTTGCAAACAACCAATATCCTTCTTCGGGATTCGAAATTACGCCCAACGATATACTAACCACTAAAGCAATTAAGGCGGCTCTCTCTCTAAATATTATTTGATTTCTTTAGTACTATCTACAGTCCTTAAAAATGAAATATAATTTAATGGTATTTTATACATCTAAATTAGGTACTCACATTACTTTTGTATGACTGACATGCTAATACTTCTGTTTTACAACAGTCTTAAAAATTTAGTTGTCAAGTAAGGTTACGATTCTGTATTGCAAAATAAATTCGTTATAATGTGCTGTATTACTAAAGTAAGTTTAATGATCAAATCTGTTTATTTCTTTTCGAAAAAGAAGTATTATTGTAATGGTGTTTTGATTATAAGTAGAAAAGACCCAAAGTAGAAGCGTAACCTAATGATTGCACATTTCGCTTCTTATCGGTAATGTATACTATACAAGTTATACTTTATTTATCGGTAAAATACTATTTGGTGCTAATTGTCTAAGAATGTTCTTATTTCTCAGACAAGATCAAGAAAATCTTTGAATTCGAATTGAAAAATCTGTTTTTTGACAAAACGTGAATGATCCATACAAACAAATAAATTTATCAAATGATCAGTTGCCATGGTGTGCAGAAAAATTCTCCAATTTTCGTTCGATCTTCAGTTTAGTGGCTTAGATATCGGGACGCTTTGACAATATGAAATCAAATTTTAAGAACAGATAAAAGAGGGATTTAATGTTACAGGCAAGGGATTAGGCTAAATAATACGAGAAGTGTACAAGAAATGTTTTCCTACTGAAGGAGGAATTTCACACATTTGTACATTTAAAGACGAAAAAGGAATTATTCGAGTAAAAACTCGCATAACGCATTCATAAACCAAAAAAGTTTATAACGCCAATCTTATTGCCTGAGAATTCTGTATTTAAATGGCAACCTATTGAGTATATTCATCGTGAGAACTATCACAAAGAAACTTAAATGTTATTTAGTATCCTACAGAAAACGTATTGGATCCTCAAAGGGGGGGAAAACAATTTCAAATGATGATTTTAATTAGTGTATCAAATGTCAAAATTTTAAGTCTCAGTTATTAATGGCAGATGCAGTCGCACTGCCTGCAAACAGAAAATGAAAATGCATCTGTGTTTGAGATTGTGGGAAAAATTTAGCAGGAACCTTTTCTCTAAAGCGCAGTGATAAAGTATGGAATTTTTTTGTTTACACATGCCCTATACAAAGTTCTACACTTGGAGGCAGTTTCATCTCTGTCGACAGAAGCATTCCTATTTCCATTTAGCCGCTTCATATCGAGACGAGGCAGACCGGCGGCCGAGCGGTAAAGTCGCAGAACACTGGTAGTTCGGTTCGAGGTTCGAATCCCGCGAACGGGCTGGCTGCATAGGCGTTTTCGTGGTTTTCCCCATGTGTAACGTGTATACGAGCCAGTTTCCCTTAGAAAGTCCTCCACGAAGGCATTCCTCCCCTTAGGCAGATAGCCCTAGTGTGCTGTGCCATAATTAAATACACACATATCGAGACGAAGACGAATGGTGTATTGTGACAATGGTACAAATTTTAGAGATGCGTAAAATTACCTAAAAGAAATAGATTGGATGTAAATAAATCGATTAGTGGATGTTTAATGTATTAGAAACTTCTTCCTTCTGCAATAGCCTGTTCCAGAGGCTGGTGGGAAGAACTTGTTGGAATTATTAAACAGCTCCTTAGAAGATCTGTAGAAAAGGCTGTCATAACTTGAAAAGTTCTAGTGATAATAATATGCGAGTGTGGGAAAGTCACAAATTCCTAACCTTTAGCATATTTATCAAAAGACATGAAAGATCTGATTCCAGTAACTCCAACCATATTCTTACTCGATGGACTGAATTCAGAATTTGAAGACATTGGCGAGATTGATGCTATAACAATTTACAGAATAGAATAAAGTATCGCTTTCTTTGCCGAAACGTGTGATGCTCAGTGGTGGTATAAGAATTGGACTTAACTACTCGAGTATGGTACAAATATTAGCAGAGATGTTTTCGTAGAGGACTTCTGAAGTTACTGCCTTGTAAACCCAATTTTAAGTTCAGTTAGTTTAGTTCAGTGTATTTATATTTATTTTAACTAACAAGTTAAAGTCTAATTTCAAACTTTCCTATAAGCCTTCATTCCCCTAATTGTCAGTGCCAGAGTACTTAAATTTTGTAGCGCGCGTGAACGAATGCAAATTTCTACTTTGAAGAAAGAGTTTAAAAAAAACCGAGTTTCGATAGGAAAGAGGAGAGTTAGCAAAAGCCGCCACCTCTGCTGTTTAACGCTTACTTCTCGCTGGTTCACGTGGCTGAGTTGCATTTACTTGCTGCCGCTAGTTTCGAAGGGGGTTTAAGTAACGGGATCTCGCTGAGCACTGTAATTTAGTTTCATCACTCGTTAATATCGTCAAACGTTTAGTTTCGTTATTTTATTTTCAGTTACCGCCCAAGCAGAGGCGTAGTTTGTTAGCGTCGAGTTGATGCATTGTATATTTTAAAGAGTTAATAAAGGGACTTTTAACCCTTCTCTTGTGCAGTTACTAATATCCCAGTTTTTCACACAGAAGTAAACCTGCTGAAATCTACAAGGCAGTAAACGTAAATATTTACACCATTCGATAATGGTTTGAAACTGTTATCATTTAACATGTTTATCATTTTCAGATTATCCTATAATTTTGGAGAGAAATGTATGTAAGGAAATCACAAATCGCAAATTTTGATTTTAATTTTAATTTCGCTTTTAAACAAATGATTGACAAATGAAACTTTAAAACATTACAAAATTTATTTTTAAGATTAAATTGAAATTTGCATAATACTGCGAAAAATATTTATGTTGTTACATTTTCTCTGTGCTCTTTGAAATTGTTTTTAATCATGCATTTTAAACCCCGTATTCCTAAATTTTTATTCTAATTTGTTTTTCTTTTAGATGGAAGCACTCTTATAATAGCAGGGACATCACTTAGGTTATGGAACTCAGAGCAAGACAAATTCCATATCCATCTCACAAGACAAGTGCGCGTCATATTATCATCTCACCAAGGGATTAAACGCGAAATACTGAAACAACTTCGAAGTTCTTGTGATAGCGATTCTAGATTTCCTACCAATTAATATTCGTTGCTTTTTAATTCAAAAAGACACCTAAAATGATTCACATTTCACATTATTCACGAGTAAAGGTATGTTGTCTCGAAACAGTCATCCATTACATGAAGTTTAAAAAAAAATGGAAGAATAAATGAAAAAATATAATACAGAATGTTTATTATTTTTTTGGCTCGGAGAATAATTTTATACATAATAAAGCAAATTATTGAGTAAAATGCAATGAAGAAAATTAATCATAAAAAAATTAAGTAGCATGATTATATTTTAAATGCGGTTGACTGCGACGAAATATGTCAATAATCATACTTTGTTCTTTGAACATTATGCCTAAAATCAAACCACATTAAATTGAGAGAAATATTTACATTATTACATAATGCATGCTTACAAAAGATGAAGATCAGTTGCGCCATAGTTTGTGACGAAAACATGCTAAACTGAGAAGTTCATAGTTATTTTTAAAGTTGAATTACGTTGCGAAGATAAATGCACTGAAACGGGATATGTTTGCGCTGTTACGTGCTGCGGAGATCTTTTCGATAATACCACAAGTTTAACTGAGAAAAAAATGATGATTTATTGTAATTAATTAAAATGCAATGAAATGTAAATTACTGTAAATAGCACAAGAAGACCACAGAGAAAAGGCATCATATCTCAGATCATCATTATCACTTATGATGCCAACTCTGCATATGATGCCCCGATGCCACTGAAAAACACAGTGCCAATACTACGCGATACCACTCAACATATGGTTCACACATCTTATAAGGTACTTTCTGCCTCCTTTCTGCATTCATTCATGGTGTAACTGGAAGCACACTCAACGAGTCTTAAGGAGGTCTGGAGTTCAAATCCCGACGAGGGCATTGCACATTTTTCATGTTCCTGCATCATTATATAACCTAATTACTCTATAAGTGGCACCCGAACTAAAACGCTGGTGGACGATAACTCGTTACCACCAGGATTTAGTGACTGGGACCCCAAATCCACAGCCCTCCTAGTCCTTGGAAAGAGGAGTATATAAGGCACTTTCTCCCTCCTTTCCACATGCTTTCGTGTCACCATTCATGTGACTTTTACATGGCCATTCAGGCGACCTTTATAAATGTGCATTTTGCCTGTACTGCTATTGGTATACTACATTTTGCCTATACCGCCATGCACTGCCGGATTATAATACTGCCTCCTTCATATTTTGAACTACATAATTTTGTATTCTTCACCTTTTCTTCGTTTCACATAGGATGCATCGGATGTTCTAAGCACCAAAATATAAGGGAAAAATTATAATTTCTCAGAAGTTAGTATGTAACAAAAACATTGGGAATATATTTTAACATAAATTCACATATTTATATTAAACATGTAAAAGACCTATTGATTAAGCATTTAAAATATTAGTATTTCTTTAACACTTTAATTGTCATGGACGAGGTCGACTCGCATTCAAGTTACGCACTGCAGTGGGCGCAAACAAACATCCTGACATTACAAATTTACGACAGGCAGATATCGCACATGTTTGGGATGAAAGAACTGCTTAATCTTGCAACCGCCGAAGGTTTAAAATAGTATTTTGATGCAACAAAAAAAGACAAAAAATGACAATCTGTCTCTTTTAGTTTAAAGATCACTGGAGTTTAATGCTTAGAATTACTAACGGAAGTGTGAGGATTTTATAGAAATAAAACGAACAAAAGCTTTTACACACACACTCATATATATTTTGTTTTATTTTATTTCTTATTTATTACAATTATTCATTCAAAAAATGCCCCTATGTAAAACTGGCCGTTTATATAAGAAATAAAATACATAATTTAAGATGTATGCAATTGTATTTCTAACAAATGTTAAATCTATAAATGAATTACAAATTATACTTGGACAGTTACTTGGCATTATACCGAGATTAAAATGATGTTTCCTAAAACCAAATGCCTTTCCATTTCCTTTATCGTCTAGATTCAGATCTCACATCATAATTCTAAATGGAACATCTGTGTCTACAGTAAGCTTTTCATCGCCTCAGAATATTTCATCAATGCACTAAACAAGAACATCCTCAGATCTTCTGAATTAACAGTTTGATGAATATATACAGATGTTAGAATTGATATTGACTCTCCATTAACAATTACATCAAACGTCCAAATACCGCCTGCTTATGAATGCTGTATTCTCTTACGCTCCTTAACAGTAAATTCTCTCGGTACACAGTTTACTACATTCGTCAAATTTCTATAAATTGCAACACCACTAGCTTCTCGAAATAACAATAATAAAAAATCTGATGTGTACACCACATGACTTCCTTGTACGGAATATTAAATTATACGCATTTTTTCTTGCATCATTTAAACTTATTGGATTAATTAAATGTACTTCGGCAATATCGCATAAACCACAATAGAATAAATGCTCTCTTTAAAATTCACTATATTTGTTTACAGTAACGACACTCTGGCTTTAGATTCACTTAACAGCGCTACATTTCGTCTGTATTATAACTTAGAATGTACAAAATTTATATCATTTGAAGAATTATCTAATCGTTGCCACATGTTCTATTCAATTACTATAATAAATCTAGAACGATGCATAAGAGAAATTAAGCAAGCAAAACAAAAAAGAAACAGCTTTTCACAGACGATTCAGTATTTCTCATTCAATTAATTCAGTTCTCACTTCGCGACAAGGCAAAAATACATAAAAACTCAAAATATCTATATTAAAAATTTTGAAATAAATCTTAAACACTTATTTTCGCGAAAAATTTCAGAAAGGATTAGGCATGATTTAATTCGCAATAATAAATGAAGGCGTTATCTTTGTTGTTGCGAAGATTTGTCTCTCTAGATTGGCAACAGATCCACTATTCTGCTGTTTCAAATGTAAACAAATATGTCAGCCATATTATTTAAAAAATTAGGCTTAACCGCACTTACACAGCTTTTATATTGTTTATAATTCTACAAACATTGCCTGCAGATTTCCTAAAGCCATAAAAACTTTAACCGAAAGATAATAGCAACATAATTCAATCATTTTTAAAGGAAAAAATGCACAACTTACAAACATATAAGACTTATGAAATTGAGATCACTGAGCCGGGTAACAGAGTGGATATGTATATAAATATATTTATATTCGTTTGGTGCGGCCGATTGCAACCAAAATACGAGGTATACATATACATGTTATAGCACTCCTATATACGAAATTTCAACGTTCTGAGGCTACTGGTTTTTGAGTTATGCGAGATACATACGTACGTACGTACTCGCAGAGGCCACGAAACATTCTTTTCAGAATTCATTTTAAATTAGTTTAACAGTTTTTTTTTTGGGGGGGAAAGAGTCCTTTATCCTGTCCTTATGTACAGATGTCACGCAAAAACATCGTTAACTTGCACTCGATAGCGGTGAGAATGGATATTTTCGTTGAAATATGATGCCTTAAGCTCTTCGCGATTGCAATACTCCGTTCTTACTTCATACAAGGAAGTAAAAATAGCAAACATCACCTGAACACAAATGACTGGCAAATCAGACGACTTTGCCACTCACAACCGCTCGCGTATGCCCGCGGACTTCACACCAAAATTTAGGCATTTTTGACATGTCAACTATGCGCATACCCTTTGTCCAATTGAATTATTATTATTTTTTTCATTTGCTAATGTGCTGTTGCTCTTTCATCTATCTAATGATGTATTTAGATCGATTGAAACATTTCTAGTTTCAAAGATATAAGCTTTCGTCCACACCTCAAATAGTGTCTTAATTTTTGCTTACCTATCAGACCATTATAGAGGAACGTAATTCTATGTTAATGAAAATCTGATGTGTACAGCACATGACTTCCTCGTACGGAATATTAAATTATCCGCATTTTTTCTTGCATTTCATGTAAACGTATTGGATTGAATTAAATCTACTTCGGCGACAGCGCATAAACCACAGTAGAATAAATGGATTCTTTAAAATTCATTCTATTTGTTTATGATGGCGACATTCTGGCGCTAGGTTCACTTAACAGTATTATATTTCGTTCATATTATAATTCAGAATGCACAAAATTTACATCATTTAAAGAATTATCTAATCGTTGCCCCATGTTCAATTCAAATACTACAATAAAGCTAGAAGGATGTGTAAAAGAAATTAAACAAAATAAAAAAGAAACAGTTTTTCTCAGACGATTGAGCATTTCTCATTCGATTAATTCAGTTCTCACTTCGCGACAAGGCAAAAATACATAAAAACTCAAAATATCTGTATTAAAATTTACGAAGTATATCTTAAACACGTATTTCCTCGAAAAAATTCCAGAAAGGATTAAGTATGATTTAATTCGCAATAATAAATTAAGGCGTCATCTTTGTTGTTGCGAAGCTAAGTTTCAGTAGATTGGCAACAAATCCAGCTATCCTGCTGTTTCAGATGCAAACAAGCAATGGCCGCCATCAAGAAAATTATTAGGCTTAGCGGCACTTAAACAATTTTTAAAATTGTTGATTAATTCTAAAAATATTGCATAGAGATTTACAAAATGCATAAAAACCTTAACTGGAAGATAAGAACAACATAATTCAATCATTTTTAAAGCAAAAAATGTACAATTTACAATCATATAAGTGTAAAGAAACTGGGATCACTGAGCCGGGTAACAGAGTGGATATATATATAAATATATTTATATACGTTTGCTGCGGCCGATTGCAACCAAAATACGTGGTGCACATCGACATGTTATAGGAGTCCTATATACAAAATTTTAACGTTATGAGGCTACTCGTTTTTGAGTTATGCGAGATACCGAGATACGTACGTACGAACGAACGAACGTACGTACGTACGTATATACGTTCGTACAGACGCCACGAAAAATTCGAAAAATTCTCTTCAGAAATAATTTGAAAGCAGTTTTATAAATTTTGTGTAGGAAAAGAGTATTTTAATTTGTCCTTACATACAGATATCAGGCAAAAACATCGTTAAATTGCATTCGATAGCGGTCGAAATGGATATTTTCGTTGAAATATGCTGCCTGAAACTTTTCGCGATTACAATACTTCCTTTTACTTCGTACAAGGAAGTAAAAAAAGGCGTCTGCTTTAATCTTTTGTAATATAATGGACGAAGGAAACTCAAAATAGAATAATTTCTATTTCATTAGACATCTCAGTGCTATCAAAGAGGAAAAAATTTTATGAAAAAGACGGTTAAATATTCCATGTAGGTGGTTTTAAGAATCTTTCACGCACATGGAGAAAGGGTTGATTAATTTCAAGAACTTCATCATACTTTCCAACATTTCAAAATATAATTCTTTTTCCAGCACATTTTAAAATTATTATTAATTTAAAATAATTATTAAAATTATTTAAAATTATTATTATTGTTTCCTTGCTGCATTTTATTGCGGCAACATTCTATTATGTTTTTTCTTTTGACAAAATACTTTCTTTTGAAAGGAATGGAGAAGGAAGTACTCCATAATACACAGTAATCAAATATTTTCTTGAACATTAAACAAAAGCTCCTAAAAATAATGTAAAATAATAATGTAAAATTAAATTCCTGAAATTAATGTCTCTAATCATCTCTCTTCGCCATGTATGAGAAAAAAAGGTAAATCATTTCTTTCCAATTTCCTTTCTTCATTATACTATGCAATACTTCCTACCTCCATGGTGGCAGCTATAATGTGATTATCATTAGCATTACGGTATACAAACACCCAAAATTTGTTCATGACATTTTTCTTCTGAATTTGGCCGATCGCCCCATGTCATTTCGCGAACTGGTTGGCCAAACTCCGAAATCAAGAAAAGATCGGACTTTGGCCGGTCATTGTGAGGCGATATTGGCTGTTTCGCGATTTGGCCGGCCAATTCGGGAACTGTCCGTCTTAGGGCTTTAGCCGTAACATATATGCAATCTGATCCGAATTTTATAGTAAGTACCTCTGTAAATCATTGTAATTAAAATGAAAAATCATCTTTTTTTAAATTTGGGGTAATTTTCTAGTTTTACTTTCAGACTTATTGAAAACAAATTTTTGTTCTTGCTAAGTTCCACAAGTGACTGAGGGTTTAAAATGATTAATAATGATAGTTGATTTCAGGCTCAAAACAGGTGAATGACTAGCTGGCATGACTGATTTTTGTGGTTTACCCTGCATGTAACGGGAATAAGAGCGAGTTTTTCTTAAGAAAATCATCCACGAAGACATCCTTCTCCTTAGAAAGATAGCTGTTATGTTTTCTAAATTAAAATAACACACCGAATAACGATTACTGGAGAAATTAAAGATCACGAATCAGCGTAATGTTTGTAAATCTCACAGAAACTAATCCTGGAAAATTTACAAACATTGGTTCTGCATTTGAACCATTGAAACTAGTCCTGCAAAATTTGCAAGTATTTCGCTGATTCGCTGATTCTTATTGTTTAACTTCTATAATAATAGCTGTTATGTGCTTTAAGATATACAAGTAACCTACTTAACTGCTTATGTCTTACAGCGTTTGATTGTACATGGTAGAAATTTCCAAATTTTTATATAAATTTTTTTTGTCAGAAAACATAAACCTGCTTTCTTTGTTTCCCCGTTTAGAAATTTACTGAATGAAAGCAATAAAAAATCATTACCAGGAAATCAATCGTCTGATACGTAGATAACATTTAACTTTGCACAAACATTGTATCACGTGAACAAACCTTTCTGAATAACTAGTGATTGGAGATTAAGTTTCGTTTTTCAGGCAATGAATGTTAGAACACTGGAAAAGAGAAACAAAAGCATGACACTGCTGATCCAAATAATAGGATAGCAACTTAAATATTATCATAATATAGCTTTGACTTATTATAACATTATTTATTCAGAAAAATCAGCAAATTTACAGATGCTAAAAGAAACTCATCATCATTATAAATATATTTCACTTATTGTAAAATCCAGCCATGGCCGGTGTTGGAGTCTTCCCCGCAATTAATTCAGATTTACCTTCTTACTTATTTACACCACGCAACTTAGATTATATACACTTTGTACAAACAGAAATACATCAATTGATAGACTTGTTTAAATTTATAAAATGACCACACTGAGCATTCAGCCTTTCCCACCGGAAGCCCGTCTCCAACTTACTCTTTTATCGCCTCCTATTTTCGGGTTTACAGTTTTGGAGGATAAGGCACTACACCCACGTTCAAATGTTTCTAAACAATTTCTTAAATTAACTGCTCAGCATACATTACTAATCGCACAAAAATTATCATATATATATATAACATTCTATTCATGCATACTGATCATTTCAGTTAATCTGAAAACAAATATATTTTGAAAAAGAATTAGAAAAATAGTCCTGGCTTATGTTTCAAAATAAATTTATTAATATTTCTTTATTGGCAGCCATTAGTCTTCGAATCCTTGAAGTTCTGGCATATCGTGAAATATTTTCAAGCATTCCTTATTCACCACACTCTCCGGATCATAGGGCATATTGTTGATGATTTTCTTCACAATAATTTCTACTTTCTTTCCGTTTATGTTATACTAAGAACGAGAATATATATTTTTAAATATAAACAGTTAAATGAAAGACAAAAACAAGAAAAGTACTAAATTATTGATATGAAACGAATGCATTCAGAAATAACAATTCAGAACGTTAGCGAATATCGATCAACACCCCAAGAAATGTTTTATATTATAAATTTGTTTTAAATGGAAGCTATAAATGTGCATTTCTACGGTCTTTACCTCTTAAATACGTTTTAAAACATTTTTTGTCATGCGTTTTTGCTCTACAGTGCATTCGAATTGCATAGTTTTATCGACATTTTATTTTCTGTCTTTGTATTTCCTACTAGTATGTTTTCATCTTGCTTTTTTTCAATCTACCGCAATATTTTGTTGGACGATGTTTTCTTCTCACGTTGTATTCTCCGCAACGTAATTCCGTGTGTTTTTCCTGCCGTAATGTTTAGAAGCACCATTATGTCATTAGCACGATGCAGAGCTACCAAATAAAATTAAAAATGTCTTTTAATCCTATGAAATCGTCAACTAAATGAAATCATAAGATATTCCTGGAAAAATGCATGTTATTAAGCTAAACATTCCCTTTAATAATTTGCTAAATATTTCACGAAATAAATCTCTCAAGGAAGAATAAAGCATCGATCTCGTGTAAAACATTACCTTTGTGCTATGAAATGTCAAAAAGTATTCGTACGATGCAAAGTCAACACTTTAACATATTTTCTATTTATTCGGAGAAGTTAAACAAAGGTAAAGCAGAAGCCCTATGCTTACTGCAATTAATTTAGAGATTGAAGGACGGTGCTTCTCTAAATGTAGTTGTAAATCAATTACAAAGTGATTTCACTGCTCGTTCAGAGTTGTTTAAAATGCTATGTGAGTAATAAAATTAGTTATTTTACTATGTGAATAAAAAAAAAATCTTGTGTCTGTCGTATATAAAATAAATATTGTTGCGTGCATACGGGTTCGTTATGAAATGATTGCACAAGTCCGATGAAAAATGAACAAAAAATGTATTATTATCACAACAAAAATGCTTAAATTTTCTCAAATTATCACGCAGTATTACAATATCTCACAGTAGTTATCTTTTAACTACTCAAATGTCCAATAGAACGTAATTCAAAACAGCTAAAGAATGCTAATCCGCGAATTCGCTATAATCGACAAGAGTAGTTTTCTAAACAACAACAAACTGAGATGTTTTCCTCCTTTTATAAGATTTTAAAATCACGCGCTAGAATTTTCCAGTACTTTCTCGAAATCAAAAGGAGATATTTATTTAATGCACGCGCTCTTGTATTTTCAATTTTCCGGCTTAGCTTTCTTTTAATATTCGTCACGCGCTGCACTACGCGAGAAAATAAAACCATCTAATTTATAATTGAACTAACATTAGCTTTTTAAATACCAAATTCGTAACAATATTTTAATAGTTTATAGAAGATATCTATCTTAACGAACTACTCAATAAAACCTCGCTTCGGATAGATACAGCCCATGACGAAAATAATTTAAGAAATAACTCAGAATGATTATATTCTCAACATTCATTAAAACCTTCTCGCAAGTTTTTCGAACTGTTTGCTTGAGGAAATTAAAAACACAAAATTACATTATGTGACCTTCCGCATTTCTTTTCTTTTTAAATATATATATAAGTACTTCCCTCCTGTGGCCGATTGGTTAAAGCCTGGTGAATATTAGTAGTTCGTCCTAGGTTCTAGCTATTAGACTGGGCTAACCACTTGGTTCATTTTGGTCGTTTTCCACATATGCAATGTGAATACGAGTAGTTTGGTTGCTTTATTGAGATTATGGTAAAGCACACTAGGGCTATCTGCCTAAGGGAAGGGATGTCAAAGTGGAAAGTAGATAAAAATCTTGACAGTTTTTTAAATAAAATTTTAATTCTAAGTTTTTATATTATTTTGGTTGCGTTTCTGTTAGAGAGATTATTTCATCAAATTGTAAAAGTTTATTTTACTGTACAAATTACTTTTTTTGTAGACGGTAAAGTAAGACTTCTTAAATTTAAGGTATTCGTTTTTAGTGGAGGGAGAAAACATCTTACAATTTATACATATACATGTAATAATAGCAAGGAAAAGACGGAGCAGCATCGATACCTAGATATTATAGATCGTAATACCTAGATATTATAGATCGTAATAATATTATAGATCGTAATACCTAGATATTATAGATCGCAATAATATTATAGATCGTAATATCTAGATATTATAGATCGTAATAATATTATAGATCCTAATATCTAGATATTATAGATCGTAGATCCATATTGAAGAAGGAGAATTCTAATTGCGTAGTATGCTACTATGCTGACTTCGTAATGCCTAAAATCTTGGCAGTCGAGACAGTTTTAATTCCATTTTTATTTGCAATTGACATTTGTGGCCACAGTTCACTTGGCACTCTAGTCGTGCCTATTCAAGAAAATTTACATTTTTGATATTTTTGCGATAGGAGCACAGCAGAATGTGTAGAGACATTATGTTAATTGGAAAAGCTGCAGAGATGAAAAATGAGCAACCACCTTTGCCGGGAATCGAACCACGGACCTCTAGAATACCGGCCCAGGTTTAGACCACTACAACACGAGGCTCGCTAAGAAGGCGGGTAACATCTAAGTGGCGCAGAGGCAAAAGTTTGCGTAGTTATCCATTATGAAAGCATACGAAGAGAAAGGTTTTGGTTAGAGTTAAAAGTTTCAGTTTCCAATTATTACGTAGTCAGCGCTGCGCAGACCATGCAGAATGAAATGATCTAGAAATGACGCAATCCAGAAAATTTATTACGATTTGTAAAACAGAGAGGGAGAATTATAGGGTTACCGTTAGTTTAAATTATAATTTTGACTTACATATTTTTATCTTACATACATGTATATATATATATAAACCTAAAATGCATTTCATTACCTTATGAAGTATTTTCTTACTCCTTTCTATATGCCTTCGTGGTGTAACTAGCGAACACGTGTTCCGGACGTGTTCGCTAAGCGGAAATTCCGGAAGAATAAGCGGAAATTCCGAAGTTCGAATCCCGGTTAGGGCATCGTATGCTTTACGCTTTTTCTGCATCGGTATAGTTAAAATTTCTCATTTTACAAAAATACCGATCTGAAGATAATAATAAGATAATCTAATTATCAAACTGCTATGCTAAATTTGTAAAATTACATTTGAATTTGAAGATTCAATAAGTTTTCTAAATCTTGAGTCTAATTAGAAATTTGAGGGCATTTTCCTGTTTGATCAATTAAAGAAAAATTATTATTTATCACAAATAGTTGCGTAAACTAATAATTTCGCAAAATTAGCTTATGATTTATCTAGTTAATAGGTATTTACCGGTATATCTGGAACTTCCAGGATAACTTCTGGAATATGTCGAGGCGTTAATTCACTTCCAATCATTTCTCGAATCCTGCTTTCCAGATCTTTGTTAAACTGATAGCCCTCTTTTATTTTCAGAAATAGGACAGCTCTTTCCGCCAAATTCTTGCTGTACTGAGAGACGCAAATACTGTCGACGATTTCAGGGAATTTATCCACTGCAAAATTAAACAAAACATTTACATTTAATCATGCAAACAATAAAGCAGATATAGTAAAACCTCTCGTAATTGGCCCCAGTTGATTGGAAATAATTTATATATAGCATTGTTCTAATACAGGTATTTTGACACAATATCGAACTTTTCCTGAAATGACATGCCAGTTGTTTTCCATGTTTCGATTCTACGACTCACACTATGCCAAACTGCAAAGTTTTGTAAAAATCGCACAGGTAGTGTTAGAAAATTAGCTTTCAAAATTTTAGCTCCTCAATATTAATTAAATTTGATATATATTTATTAATACCTCTTTTTTATTAAACTTGTTTAATTCTTTCATATTTCGAAATGTAGGTTCATTCCAAATAAAATTCGCTTATTTTTATGACATATTTTTAAATAATTATAATAAATTTTTCGAAAAAGATTTTGAATTATAACCTATAAAAGTTTTGTCATCATCTTAAAGTAAATGTATTTCTATGCATACCTACAAAAAATTAGAGCCTTTTTACTCACAATTTCCGAAGATATACGTGAATTTATATTTTTGCGCTTTTGAAATTTGGCGTGTTTATTATAAGCGATAGTAACGAAAATGTGGTGAATGCACTTTGTTAAAATTATTTGAAAGTATGAATGATGACTTTTTTCCGCTCTTGGACAATGAAGAAAAAGGAAAGTAAAATAGGTTGCCATAAATTAAGAAGTTCGCCAAGTGAATTATTCTTGGCGTAAATGAAAATATTCGCCAAGATAAATTTTTGAATTTCTTCATAAATTTCTCACCAAAAATTTCAAAATTTAATATTTAGGCATAATTTGAGTAGTAGATTCGAAATACGGAAAAAAATTATATGTTATTTCAGAAAAGTGCAATTTTGTGTAAAAATACCTATGTTTCAATAAAGGCTATGTATAAATCTAATATATATCCTAAGTCGCACTTTCGACACATGGAGAACGCAATTTGAATTTCGTCAATCGGCCCAGTAGAACGGGAGAGATAGAACTGCCCTTTTTTTTTTTTTATTTCGCAGTGTGTATCGGTTTTAGCAATGTCTATGTTTTACACATATATATATGTTTCGTCTCAGATTTAAAGAAATATAGTATTCCTAAATCCAGAATTATAGGCAAGAGTATAAAACTTAAATTTCATTGGCAGGTAATTAATATAGGTTTAAGAAAATAATCGCAACAAATAAAATCTAAATACTATTTTACATAATGATGCTTTTGTCTTGGAAAAGTAATTACGATAATCTTTCATATATTCGCCTTGTTGATGTTTGCTACTGAAAAAAACTGATTATTATTTATTTTACAGATGCAATATCCCATTATTCGCTTAATTTTGAAACCGTTCTGATTTACAAGTGATTATATGCATTGAAAACTTCCTTGATTCTCCATCTGAATTATTATTCGTCTTTCTAAAAACACATATAATACACTAAAAACACAAAATTAAAGTCTTTCTAAAAACACATATAATACTGTTATAACTACACTGACGAGCCAAAAAAATATGATCATCACCACATTTTTCAATGAAATCGTCTGGATGGCGTGGAGGTGAAATAGGAAATAGTATTTAACTGCTGCTGGAGAAGGTAAGGCCTCATTCTTGCATTTACCTTTTGTGAGTGATGAGAAAGGCTGCTGATCTTAACGAATTTGATAGAGGGCAAATAGTAATGTCCCGAAGACTCGGAACGAGTATCTCCGAAACTGCATGACTGGTAGGTTGTTTACTATCTGCTATTATTAGTATTTATGCAAAGTGGATAAATGGAGGTGAAACCGGTAGTTAGACGTCAAGGTCTTGGACGTTCGCGCGTCATCAAAGGAAAGACGTCGTAGACAGTGCCACTTGGTACAACAAAATCGGAAATACTATCTCTAATGTCTCAGTAATATCTCTAAGGAGGATCCCTCGTTCAAACCTATTATAAAATTTAAGCAGAAAGTGTTCGTGAGTTTTGTGTAAATTAAAAAATCTAATTCAATCCATTCTAATATGAAGAAGGAAACTCCTATTCAAATAGAATTTTAATCATTCAAAACAGAAAAAAGGCTGGGTCTGATCATACAGAAACATCGTAAATTATTTGAAAAACTTTTAAAAATATTATCATTAAATATTACAAAATAAATTAAAAATAGAAAGCTTTTTATGATTTATTTTGCACTCTCAGTTGACGATTTTTAATAGCATATCTATAAAAAATATCTTGTTTCGTTCATTCGATCACATTTATAAAAATCATTTCGTTCAGATTTGTTCATACAAATCTGTGATACCTGTTATTTCCAGAAATGATTTTTCCTTGAAATGAAAACTAATTTATCCGAGTGCGTAGAGAAAATAAAAACTGCTTTTACACTTACCAATATTGTAAATTTCAGAGCTTCCAAATCGACATCCTCGTTGTTTTAAAGTAGCATCACTGTAAAATTCAAAATACAATTTACCTAAAATATTAAATGTTACATTGAACAATTTGCTTAATTTTAAAAATATGTATCAAATCTGAATGATCTATTGCAGACAGAAGATCATCTTTAAATAAAAAGAATGACACATGATTTATCTTAATTTTAGAAACATCTCTGCTTTTCAAATGTGTCGGGCACATATTTATATTATTTAGCAACACAGTATTCTTCTATTTTTAATACGAGAACACTATCTCTATTGAAAAGGCTAAAAGCGTTTTAGTTTCTATCGAAACGTGTAGAGAATTTCATCTCAATTCAATGTGAAATTTGGCACAACGTAAGAATCCCCCGATAGCTTTCAATTACCAGCTGAGTATATTAGTTAAATATTTAAGTGGAAAACTTAAAATGCAGTGCACCAAATTATTATGTTCAATACCGTGTATGGTACGGAAGTATGGTACCTACCACCACGGTTCTGACTTATTTACATAAAACTCACCGGTTAAGAAATTTCTAAACAAAAAGAAACTTATTTCCTAGTTTCTAATTTAAGTTCAATCAAAGTTAACATTTTTGTAATCATAATTACAAGTAATACATGTTGTGTTGTGATTAGTTCACAACGTCGTTCCGGGACCGCGTTCGTGAAATGATCCTGATGAATTAAAACTAATAGCCCATAAATCATTTTTTTCTATTAAATATCAATTTATTTCATGTTAGAAAATAAGAAAAATTACATTTTTCCTTACCAATTCAAACATAAGGGATATCAATATATAACGCTTAATAATTATTTTGATATTTCGTTTCCTCTTCAATTAATTACTATTTAGCCCTCCAGCTTATAAAGTTCATCAGTAATAAACCAAGACAACGAACAAAAATTTACACATATGTAACACAAGTTTTATTATAACAAAGGCAGGCAAACCCCACAAATTTCTTTAGTTACTACCTCATGGATAACAGTTAGACTTATTAAGATTTCCTTTAGAATACAATTTAAAATTCCGAGTAAGATATAATTGATTGCATTTAGAAATTTTTCAGCCATGTCTTAACTCCTAGTTAATATATACATTAAAAACACAAATAAACAGGAAGCAATAAGCGAAGAGCAATTTATGCTGACTATATCTCTATTTCCATTTTCCTAGATTATTAAACTAAACCTTTCTCTGATTTCTGCACAATTATGAAGAACCAAGAAAAACACTTTTAAATCCTAAGTATGAATAAAATAAAGGGAAATGTTTATTGTGCAGTCCAAGGCCGGAGCTAGAGAAATGGTAACATACTTCACAACTAAAAATTTAGACAAAAGGAAGATATTTTCCACATCAAGCCAAATTATTTTCCTTAATTATTTTCCTGTTAGCAAACCTGACACGAAGCCTGGCTTCTCCGTGCACTTGGCGGAAAAGGTCATTCTTCAGGAAAGTTATGAACCGTTATTATAAGCAACGCTCGACGGGGTAAAAAGCGTCTCCGTTAAGAAGGAAGAATTTATCATGTTTTTTATGTAAACGTTACATTTTTCAGTAACATGGAGACATAAGTCCAAGTGCCTAAGTCCAAGAGTCCGCACCTTGCTGTTCACAAAGAAAAAATCTATATAGGCAGTTCATTAATAGAGTACTCCTAACAACGACGAAAACCTCTGACTCGAGTTTTCTTCGAACTCGTAACTAAACGTAAAAACTGTTTTAAGATTCTTCCTTGTCACAATTCAAGAACCATTACTTTCAAGGATCGCTGAAACAAATCCGAATTCACGAATTTCCTAAGAAAACGCTAGGTCGCGGAGCATAATTTCAGCTAATCCCTATTAACAGTCAAGGAACAAGAAACTACATCGAATACAATAATTTAAAAAGGGTTTCAAGATTCTTTTCTAATCACAATTCAAGAATCATTATTTCCGAAGATCGCTAAACAAGTCCGGTTCCCTGAAATTCCAGTGAAACGCTTGGTCGGGAGCATAATTGCAGCTATTCCCCCTTAACAGTCGAGGCTCAAGCAAATACATCGAAGACAGCAAAGGCTAAAGTGAGCTACACTCGAAACCCCTACGCACGATCACACAAAAGCAAGCTACCAAAAAATTCAGAATGTAGCAACTCCCTTTTCCCAAGACTAAATTTCTACTTTTCCATCAAACTGTACAAAACAGCCTATCTGCGCAAGCACAGCCACTCAGAACGAGTAACCAAAGTGCACACTTCTTTCGCCAAGACCTGTTGACCTTTCTCGCAAATACCTATTAACCCTTGATCTTCCTCACGTACACCCTCTTCCTACAGCAATCCAAGACAAAGCAAAAACCTTCTAGAACATTCTACTTGAAAACGGAATGTCGCAACGGAATCTCGCCTCGCCTGCTTTTCCTGATTCCTTAATACAGATTACAAATTTTCCCGATTAAATTTAATTAACCAAAATAGACTTGAAGCACTGGTTTTCCGGCCGAAAAATCATATAACAAAATATTAATCAAATGAATTATTAACCCAAAGAGTTAAAGTAATTCTAAATTTCCTAAGTAAATATACGAGTAATTAAGCTTACACTTTTTCTAACAGAAGAATTCAGACATTTATCAACACAACAATTAGTATCTAATACACTAGGGGGATCAACGTGCCTAAGATCTGTATACAGAATATATACACTGGTGTCCAAATGTTAAGCATAATTGATGTTTATGTGAATATTTAAGAAATATTTAAGGAAGTCAGAATGCCGAGAAACGTTATACCAGTCTAATACGGTCATACCATAAGAAAACAACGATAAAGAAGAATATTAAATAGTTTTATTATCTAAAGAAACAGTTTGAAAGTAATAGTTTGTATGTTAGTGAAAATATTTAAATGAAAAGGTTATGTTTCAGTTTAATAAGGTGTGTGGTCTCCTCTGTTAGCCACACATGCTGCACAACAATTACCCATTATGTGCTATAAGAGTATTCATACATTGTGGCTTCAAACAGCTCCAAATATTAATTAGAGCTGTTTTCCGCTCTGGAACGGAGTTTGATGAGAGCAGAAGGGCTGCAGTTTATCTCCCGAGCATATAACCCCACATGTTCAATAGGATTAAGATCAGGAGAGTGAGAGGACCACTGCATGCAATGAATATTTTCACTTTCAAAAAAGTTCTCGACCAGTTTCCCATGGAGACAAGGCGCGTTTTCCCTCCATGAATATGAATCTAGGAATGACAGCATCTCACAAGGCGAACTTAAGGCTCAAGGACTTCGTCTCTGTACCTTTCAGAGAACCCTGTGTCAAACGACGTAGAGATCTGTGTGGCCGTCCAGCATTATCACGTTTTCTTGTACGCATTAATGCTAATGATCATTTCAATAATTGTCTTGATTTTTTTCTAGCAATTCTAAATTTAAATCGATTAATTTCAATGTTAAAAGTATAAGAAATGTTGAATCGCTGAATAAAGTTTCATTATAGATTTTCACGTTCTTGATTTTAATTTAGAGAAAATATTTTATCTCAATTAATTAATCACAAAATCGTTGTAGAAATTTGCTTCTCCTTAGGTAGTTTGACTTGGTTTGTGTTAATAGTCCCGACTATCTTTCATCAGGTTGCAACTGAGAGAGATGCCATTTGAGAAATCTTTCTTGAGTGGAATAACAAATGTGGACGCTATTTTTATTATTTCTTTTGCATTTAAGCTTCTGCTGGCTAAATTTATTGATGCGGTCCATCACTTCTCCTGTTCAGTCTGCTGTTATTGAAACTAGTTAAAAAATTATCAGTTACAGATTAGTGGAAAATGTTTTAAAAGAACTGAATATATCTAGACTTCTTGCTGTTTCTTTCACAGAAATCATAATCAGAATTCTTACTTAGACGCATAATCTTTAAAATAATCCCACGAATAAAATAAGCAAGCCAGAACAGTTGAATCCTCCATCCTGTCCTCTACACTTTCTGATGCTAATGCTGTCGCAAATCGAAGGCCTTTCTGCTCGTCCTCGGTCGAAATTTTCAATACCTGAGTTAAACTGTTTCAAGAAGTCACAACTACAATCGCAAGACTAAGAAAAGGGCAGCTGAGGGACATGAAGATAATGCTTGATGGCGCCAGGGAATACACAGAGTCTATGCACTACGAACACACAGCTGGGCCCCGGACATCTTCTGTTCTGTCCTGTCGTCGCAACGGTCCTCTTCCAAATTGACAATGACTGGACCAGAGACATTCATTCACGAACATCGTCGAGGACATGGCTAGGGCAGTGCTTCATGCCTTTGGCTGTATTTGAATTCCTGCCCTATGCCTTCCTATGATTTGCTTTCCTTTTTATCTCTCTCTCTTTCTCTCTTTAGCATTTGCTCTGCTCCCGACAACAACATCAATAAAAATAAGCAGTTGCGTTGTCTCAATTCATCAAACTACATTGAAAAAGGAGAACATTTATTAATCTCATATAACTTTTTCTTGTATTTTCACTCGTTTGCTCATTCCGCCACATTGCTTTAAGTATTTTGAGACAACTTTGCAAATTTAAATTGCAGGAATCATTTCAGTATTTTTACTAAAATCATTCAAAGACGAATCTGACATTTCCAAAAAAGTTCGTTTTATGAATTTCTCACCCAGAAAATCATAAATTTCTCACCCAGGAAATGATAAATTCCTCACCAAGAAATAATTTACACTTTTTCTGACATTTCCAGGACAGTTTCTTTTATAAATTCCTCATCTAAGAAATAATAAATTCCTGACCAAATGATTTACACTTTTTTTACTACATGAACTACTAACATGAACCTTATTTTGAAAGACTCAGTTGTCACTAAAGGTGATTCCAATATCGCTTTTCATGAGATTTTTAAAAACATTTTGATGAGCTTTCAATTGAGCCGTAAGACTCATAATTTTATTTTTCTCAGTTCACTGTTTTGTATATCAGGAAATTCTGTCTATGAAAAAGGCATTTACGCATGTATAGTGTTACGGTTTTGTACTGATTTATTTAGTTTGATATTTTTAATAGAACTGTTTTAAAGTGTTTAATTTCCCCGTGCCATGCTGCACGCGACTTATTTGAAGAGAAACCTACGCCGGAAAAATGAAAAATACAGGAGCACGCGCGTTTGATAAATAGATATCTCGCAATTACACGCTTTTGCTTTTCGGGAAAATCGAGAAAATACCAGGATGTCTCATGCGTCATTTAAAAAGCTTATAAAAGGAGGAAAACTTCTCAATTCAGTAGTTGTTTTATGAGTTGTTTAGAAAACTATCGTGGTTTACTGTAGCGAATTCTCGGCGAGATTGGATAAGCTTTCTCTACTGTTCTCTGTTTTGAAGTACTTTCTGTTGAGCGTTTGAGTAGTTTAAAAGATAACTACTATGAGATATTGTAATATTGTACGAATATCTGAGGAAATTTCAGCATTTTGTTTTATTTGTTGTGATAATAATAAATTTTATTAAATTTTCATCTGACTCGTGCATTCAATTTATTACGAACCCGTACGCACGCAACAATATATTAATGAAATGGGAACCGGCTTACCTTCTTCCGCATATAATGTAACCTTTTGTTATAGGATTGATAATGGCCGAATCACCCAAAGAGAACTTTCCTATAAAAATGAAATAGATCGCATGTATTCTTTATTTTGAGATACATAATATCAAAGTAATAATTATGTATAGGGGAACTGTCTGGCATTAATCAAAATTTCAATTATAAAAGAGATTCTTTTACAGATTTCTTTCATATAAGGGACTTTTCATGCTAAGAATATGGGTAATATATTTAGAGAACGTGAACCAAATTTTCGAATTAAGTGTTTTATCCTGGAACGTTTTGGCTTTTAAAGCATTAAATGAGTAATTAAAATAATTATTAACATTCATAACTTTATATGATATTTTAAGCAGTTATTTTCCTAGCTTGCGAAAATAATAACAGACATAGTTTCATTCATCATTACATAGAACATTTACATATTTTTGAAACGATTTCAGAGCCGTTTAATTGAGGTTTAAAATTTAAAGACTATTTCTTCCAATATGCTATCTGATATCCTTTTTTCTGGACTAAACGTCTGCATTCGTGATTTCCGTGAAAGAAGGACTTTTCAGAAAATTTCCAGGGTATTGATTTCCGTTTCCAATAAATAATGTTCCTTATTTGGCACTTAGAAATTTTAATACCAGCATTTATCAGCGTTTTTGAATTGTGAAATGGGAGCATTTCTCTCGTCGAGGACATGGCTAGGGGGGAAAACATATCCTTCAATCCACAGCTTGTTTATATGTGACATTTTGAAAGAAGAAGAATAAGTTTTAAAGTACCAGACGACAGTTGCCATTTCAAGTACTAAGCTGTTGCCAGAAAGTTTTGTTAAAAAAAAAATTTTTTTTTTTTTTTCAGTTCTTTTTATTAAAATCGTTCTAAAAATGTGTAAACATTCTCTGTATTTTCAAATTATATTCTTCCTTTGTTATAGTACATTTTTAGTTTTATAGGTCAAGTATTTATGTTCACTTTGTAAGGATTATCTTAATTTATCTAACAGTTAAATTTTGAGTTAAAATTTGAGTCTTATCTTTTCTTAATTTCAAGTTTACAGCGTTCGGCCAGAGCGTATTTTTAGAATCGCGTTTGAATGCAAATGAAGAGAAATATTTAACTGTGAAGTTCTACTGACTTCGTTAGAGAGCCAGTGATTCTGATTAGCACGCGTTCGCCTTTTCAGGCTACTCTCTCTCTTAAGCTATTATTACGCTCGGGTCGTACTTTAGGCCCTTGATAGCTTCGCCGTTAATTAGCGTTAAGGAGCCAACTCTGTTAGAATCTTGATAGCTTCGGCTATATCTTTTTAGTTAAGATTAGTTAAATTTTAGTTCTTAATTTCTTGACTTCAAGCTCGAGTTGAGGCTTTATTGTAAAACTCAAGAAGGAATCTTATGTGAACTTAATTTGGAATAGTAGAGGGTAATTTCACTCTTCTTACGTTTTGTTTTCTGTCTCACGAACAAACGATTATTCGCTTATCAGTTCTTAAGATTCCTTAACTTTAGCTGTTGGTTAAAACACCCAGGAATCTTACAACTTTATTAGAAATTAAACTCTTATGTGTTTTTAATGCACATTTTTCTATAATTTTGAGTTAAAATTCTTAAAGCGAAAACAGCCATAACTGTATTGTACTATATAAGATTCTTAACTTCTTTAGCTTAGGTTTCCGATATTGTGTTTTGCTGTGTTTATAGTGCCATTCATTTTTACACTCATTTCAAATAATTTCCCTTTCATATTCCGTCATTAACACTCCTGGGCTAATAAATTAGTAAGTTTCTTGCATGACTGTAATTTGTTCATATCATTTCAATATTATCATTAAAAGCCTCATTATTTTAATATCTTCATTTCAGCATCCTAAATGAAATCATTTTCTCTCAAATTTGAAATTGAAATCCTTGTTATTGAAAGTTACATTTGATACACTGTCAGAATCGTCCGTTTCCACAGAAAAAATATTGCCTTATGCATCATAATTACTAAGTATAAAGAATTCTGGTTATGTTCCAACTAAAATTCTCTAAAAGGATAAACTGATCTTGGCTTTTCCCGCGGCGTGGGAAAATACAGTTAGAACAGAACGGAACGACGATGTGGTAAGATGTATAGATCCGGCACTGTGCCGCGTATGATATTTCAAATTTGTGTCAGTCGTGTTGTTTATTGTTTTCAATAAATAATCAAAAGACAACTACTGTGAATTAAATAACTCAACACTTCAAAACGAAGTCAGCACTGGGTATAGCAATTTGCACTTTAGATAGATTTACTGGTTACACAAATTAGGATTTAAAAGTTTTCATTCTTGATATTTTTAAAAAGCGCAAGCACATAAATTTGTATTTAAAACAGAATGAAATCAAAATGAAATTTCAGTTCCCCTTTTTGAAAATACCATCAGTTATACTAATTTTTATAAAGTTATGTTTACTCTAAATTTTTGCTCAATATCGTAATTTCTGCTTTCTTTGTTTTAAAAGGTTTTAAAAGAAGAGTAAGCCTACTACATATAATGACATTAGGTGAATTCGAGGAAATGAAGATTTTGTAAAAATTCCTTTTAAATGCCAATCAATATATCAACATTATTTGTGACACTAGACGCAGGGATTTTATACTGCTCACTGGGTAATCCTAACTGTATTTTTTCCTGATAGCTCATCCGTTATCACATCTTAATACTAAGCTTCCTCCAATAACAATTTATAGCTGCTTTTCAAATCAGTCTATAACGTCTCGTATTCTTCAATAGCATAAAATGTAAGAAACGTCTTAAGACTTCAAGTAAATTATGCCTTGTAAAGTACCACAGAGATTGGAAAAGAGTGTAAAGGACCTTTATAATGACTCAAATAAAAGTTAACAGAAGGCACCATTCGTGCTTGCATAAGCCAGCATTTATGGCTTAAAGATAAAGAATTTGACTTAACTAAGTGAAAGGTAAGTTATCCTAATGGCTACAAAAGTTAGAGTAATGCGCAAGTTGGCTTTGAGCTAAGGTCGGCGGAACAAACCTAATGGTGAGAATAACGCAATGCTGCAAACACTACTCTCAAGAGAATTAACGTGGCTTTCAGCAGGAAGAACACGTTATGTTTCTACCATTTAAAACTTGCCTTTAAATACTGCCCTTTCTACCTCCTTTGAATATTACGCGAGCTAGAAATTTACATTGTGGCAGGAAAATGTGAAACGAGGAGAACAGGACAGAAGATTAACATAAAATAACTTATTAATAAACAAGCCTTAGAGACACACTTTACAATAAAATTTGTCAGGCTATACATAAAAGGTTTAGTAACAATTAATGTACAACGATTTTATATTTGATGGGTGGGTAAAAGTTTACAATTGGGAGCCCCTTGTTTCTTGGCGATTCTTTTTTGACGCCAAGATCAGCGCCAGGAAGGCCCAATTTCAAGATGGCCGCTACACAAAACCAAAATAAGAAGTCAAAGAATTGCGCAAACTCTGTATCCATGTACACATCGATCAGTTTTCACTTAAAAAAAATCCTAGAATTGCACAAACTAGGCATTGCGCACTGCCTTAAACTTGTTCATGTACACATCGATCTATTTTCATTTAAATAAAATCAGGAAGCTAAAAAAAAGTTAAAACTATCATGGTAACCAGAAATGAAAACTATCATCGCCAAAATTTTAAAAAAAAATTGTCGCTAATCGAAAGGACACCGAATTCTACACTAGAGCCAATGGGTGTAGTAAGTTGTAACATTTCTACTATATTGCTAAATTACCGTCCTTCAGTAGGTACTTTGATTGGTACCAATTATATAGGTACTTTGATAAGGATTTTTACCAAAGTGATTATCGCTCAAGTACGCGGAAGAGGTTTCTCGTATAATTCTTGTATATATCATTATTCTTATGTGCGGGTTCTCGTCTTTATTCTTCATTCAGACTTCAAAATGATATACTTAGCCTGGCACCACATTTTGTGTCCACATTTTCTGTCTTGAGGGATGGAATTAATTCTTTAGATGCATTATTTAAAAGCGCATTTCTATAAAACAGTGTTGCTGGCTTAGGAATTTTTGGGTTTTGGTTAAATTTTTTTGGCTTATTGTAGGAAACGCAAGGTACTAAGATGAAGAAGAAAAATTACTTATTTTTTTTAATATCTGTTTCGTAACAGACATTACATAATAGTCCATCTGTCAGAGACGCTATTGAATTCAGTAAATAGCTCTGTCTATATTTACCAGCAGTTCATGGGATAAAATTTAGTGTGTTTCCGTTTTCTAAAACCTATATGGATATTCAGAAAATCCTCACAAAATTTTAATTACAGTATTTTATATTCTAACCCGAGCAACAATCTTAAATCATTATAATATGATTATAGTGAAGAGAACAATTATTAAAGTTAATGCTACACAATGTGTTCTCAAAATGTGATCACTGTCTGTATGATTTTAGAATATTGATGTCTGAAATGTACTTACATTTAAAATGCTTCTCTTTAAATAAAGTTTTGCTTATTTGTTCGAGTACGGCAGAGCGCACGAGAGCACCTACTTTAAGGAAGGGAATTCTTTCTATATAAACCAGCTCACATTCATGTTATGCATGGAGAAAAACAAAAAGATGCCAACCCACATTCGAACATTAATCAAATTATCAGAGTTCAGTGGATTTAAATGAATGATATTTTTAAATACGGGCACGAAATATTCAGATTTGCTCCTGACATGTGTTAAAATAGATTTAATACACAAAATTGGTTCTCTTATATATGTAATTGTCCTAACTAAAAGGTAGCAAAAATGTTGCATTAAACTTATTAAAGCATTATGACAAGTTTATTGATTGTGCAGTTTGCTCTATGGGAGTCATATAAAAGTTTTCAAAAGCTCTTCTACGTTCAGTCAATATTACAGCTCTTTTAAAATTTCGTTGCTTTAGTTTGAGAAACATTTTGTCTAGACGTATAACTGTCTGTAAGCTTTACATTTTTAAGAAAGTAAAGCTTACAGACACCTTCCTTGAACACTTTACATAAGGTCTAAATTGTCTGTGAGTCTTACCCGGGAATTCCGAAAAGTATAATTTCTTAAATGTAGTTCCATCATTGTCTCCCCATAAGCCCAGTACCAAGGAAGGTACTGGTTTTGCTAGTACTAATTTGCCAGGTTCACCTACTACATGTTGACCTAAAGAAAGAAAATGAAAATAATTATAAAAATGGAAATGCTTTTGATTTAATGCAGCAATGTTTGAATAAGAAATATGTATGTCATTTTAAAAGTTATGTAATTATTATTAAAAATTGAAAGTGAGGTAGTATATATTAATGATTTCAAGACTTTTCAAAATGACATCAGAAATATTTTTCTTTGAAAATATTATATAGTTCCTCTTCTATAAGAGCTTAAATGTTATTCAGGGCTTAATGTCCTTTAGAGCATATAAGAGAGCCAGTTACAGCTCTGGTCTGAATCAAAACGATAGAGTCTTATGAAAGTAAAAATAACCTTTCTGTTATCTCTTAAAATATAACAGAAGATCCTACTTCTGGTATCGAAAGAAATTCCGCTACTTGCGAGTATTTAAAATAGCATAAATTGAAATTCAAACTAAAGTATCATCGTCGGAGATTTCTAAGTGATCTACTTAAGCTGGCTCAAGTAATTAACGACCTAGTTAAAATTCGGCTAGCAAAATGGCTAAATCTGGAATAAAATTTGATAGAGCTTATAACAGAATGTAAACGTCGAGCAAAGTTGTCAAAAGCTCTCAATCTAAAATATTCAAAGCTCTGAATACTCTAACATTAATTTGCATAATCTTAGTGAGGACTACTTAAAGATATTATAGTAAAGTTTCAAATTATAATAATTGATTAATTGACATAAACGTCTAAAATATTCAGTTATATTTTAGACCAGAAAATATTTTACATTTCATATTTACGTAATATAATATTTTTTAACGGTGAAATAAACCTTATTATTCTTTCATTTTGCACACATTTATTTAATTTTTTTTAAAAACAGACCTGAAATAATTTTAATCCCCTTACGTTAGACCCATTTTTTAAAAAATAGTTTTATGGGCACACGTTTGCAACGACACTGCAATAACCTATAACTATTTGTTTCAAATTTAATTTTAACTATTTTTTAAATTTACTTTTTTCTTAAAATAATAATGCGCCTTAATTAATATTTTGAAATGTCTCATTGCTAAATTATTGATTGCTGTATAATATTTTTATAATGTTATTATCACAGTAACGTATATTAGAGTTAATTACCACTTTATTTTCAGTTTTGTAACTATTTGTTTCAAATTTAATTTTAACAATTTTTTAAATTTACTTTTTTCTTAAAATAATGGTTTTTGGTAAATTTAAGAGTATTAGCAGGTGTTTACCTTTACATAATGTCGATAAATCACCTTGAATAAGTAAATAGTTTCTTAATTTAATAATAAAATAAAATAGTTATTGAATACTTTTCTGTTACAAATTATAAAAATAAAAACCTTTAACCCGGCGTTACTCGTGCCGGGCTTCCGAGGCCCGATCAGTTTGTTAAAGCTATTTAAATCCTACCCTTTAATACTGAAATGGATGATGCCTGGTCTAGCTGAGTGTAAGGTGAACTTGAACACAAGGGACGCGTTTTCGGAATTTTGTTTTATTCTGTTCGGACAAAAAGCCATTTTTCGGGTCGCTTAGGCCAGGCGCGAGTAAACGTGTTTCTAATTTCATGTCTGAAGTGCACTGAGTTCACAGCGCAACATGGCTCGCAGATTAACATATGATGAAGAAATGGAACGATTACGTACTTTGCTAAATGAAGTCTCGACTGATGACGAATCTATCGAAGGTGATGATTTATTGTCTGATTGCGGTGAAAGGTTTAGTGAGCATAATACGTCGTCAGAAGAAGAAATCGTGTCTGATGAAGAGGACGCCACTGATTCTAATTCAGTTGATTGTTTTATTGGAAAAGATGGAAAGACAATTTAGAAGAAAACAAAATTTCGTCAAAATGTTGGAACTTTATCGCGAAATATTATTTCAAAGTTGCCTGGAAATGTTGGAGTAGCAAAAAACGTAACTCCTCCTCTTGAGTCTTGGAGTTTATTACTGAATGAAAATATCTTGAATATGATCGTAACCTGTACAAATATATATATTGACACCATCAATGACAGCTGTCAGAGAGAACGCGATGCTAAATAAACAAAACTCTCCGAAATTAAAGCCTTTATAGGATTACTATATTTATGTGGTATACAAAAATCATCCCATATGCATGAGAGAGATTTATGGCGAACTGATGGAATGGGAATAGAAATATTTCATAGGACCATGTCTCATAGTTTTTTGTTTTCATGAGATGCGATTTAACAATGTTCGAAACAGGCAAATGAGAAAAGAAATGGACAAACTTGCCTCAGCAAGGTATGTACGTATTTGGCTCATTTGTGCATAATTGTCAGCTGGATCATATGTTACAATTGAGGGAATACTCGAACCATTTAGAGGACGCTTTTTATTTCGACAGTACATGCCAAAAAAGCCAGCTAGGTATGGAATAAAGATTTTCGCTCTTGTTGATGCAAGGGCTTTCTTTACATGTAATTTAGAAGTTTATGCAGGTAATCAGCCCCAAGGCCCGTATCATGTAAATAATTCATCAGTTGAAGTCGTCAAAAGGTTAACAGAAATGTTAAATTCTGGGAGAAATGTAACAGTCGACAACTGGTATACTAGTTATGAACTTGCAAAATATCTCCTTCAGAAAAACATTACTCTAGTGGGCACCATAAGAAAGAACAAGAGGGAAATGCCAAAAGAGCTTGTGAACAGTAAAAATCGTAAGGTGCATTCATCCTTGTTTGCATTCCAGAAAGACATGACTTTAGTGTCGTATGTTCCTAAAAAAACAAATTTGTTAACCTTTTATCTACAGTGTATATAACGATGTTGTGGACCAAATGTCAACAGCGTATTCAGCTGCAGGAATCAGCAAAAGATGACCGATGGTTCTGTTCTTTACACTGCGAAATACTGCTGCAATCAATTCTTGAGTATTACTTCAATGCTCAAAACATCCATCCTTACAGCACAGGAAGCGGAGTCAGGTTTTGAGAGATCTTGCAACAGATTTGCAGAAAGGCTACACAGCGGAGAGGTGCACTGTACCATGTCTCCCTCGACATTTGCAAGAAAAACTATCTTCCAAGAGCAAAGAACCTACCTCTAAAAACAAAAAGTAATTGAGAGAAATAGGTGCTATATTTGCCCAAGTTCAAAGGACCGAAAATCTAAGATAATTTATACAAAATATGAAAGAAATGTCTGTGGAGATCATTTTGTTCTAACATGCACCAATTGTACATAAAACTTGATAAGTTTATTAAAAAAATTTTATACATATATTGAATAAAATTAGAGCTCTAAATATTGTCTTAAATTATGTTGTGAGTAAATGCTTAATAGGGTGTTCAATGACCTACATAAAATATAAATCCATAAACGGGCCTCTCGGGCCCGGCGCGAGCACTTGCGTACGTACGATTAGCACGAGTAAAGCCGTGTTAATGCGTATTTCTGGGAGAGAACTTAAAAGTACAATTATTAATAATGAGTTCACACAAACTATAGCGTCACTTATACTCGGCACAAACATTGAATCTGGCAATACTGTTATGTAGTGACAGACTCGTTGTCTATTTCTCTTAGATAATTTGAGCTCCTTACTTTTACGAGGAAAATCGTGAATGTGTACCAGCGGCCTGGACCGTTACTGCTGACAGGTATGCCGATATGCTACAAAACATCATAGTTCCATAACTGCAGCAAAGAGTATGTCTCGATTCGACAATATTCGTGCAGGATGGTGCACCACCCCATATTGGACTTAAGGAGCAGTGTGTATTTCGGCAACATTCTTACACAGCAATTAGTCGTGCATTTCCTACGATAGGGTTCAGTCATTAGTCGTGCATTTACTACAGTATGGCCACCGAGTCGCCCGCTTTCAAATTTTGTGAATTTTGGTTGTGGGAATTTCTTAGAGGTGCTGTGTAGCAAGGAGATGTCCCCGATATTACACTTTGAGAGATCGAATATAACGTTACAAATGCTAGAAATTAATTTGAGCCGCAGTTCGGAAAATGTGCAGTTCTTGGACCATCACAAAATTTGTCATATTGGACCTCATAAGTAAGTAATTTTTTTTTTTGCAATGACAGATTGTGAACAGTTACAGTGTAACATAATCCATTAATCTATACAAGGCCATACGTGGTGGCCTCTTTATTATGGAGGCACCTAATAGGTGGGCCACCAACGTCGCCTATGAAGTAACGGACAGTTACAACCCTGTCTTCTCCGGGATTCGAACCCAGGCCCTACGGTATCGCAGTCAGAATTCCCTAACCACTATACCGTCTGGAAGGTACAATTGTTTGTTGTAAATAAAACTGATGCGAGCTGTGTCGTTTGGCATTTAACCATTCATTATTCACACTAATACACTTCCTAGGGTGACGACTTATGGTATTATTATTATTTTCTTTATTTTAGAAATCGAAATCTCATGCTCTTCTATGTACAGCCATCAAATTTGGTTGCGTTTCGTCCAATACTTTACTCGCTAGAGGGCTTCGAATATCTCACGCTATTTTATAACTACCCTGCATTTTATCTGAAATAATATTTTGCTAACCTTCAAAGCAAGTAACTTGTCATAACATTTTATTAGGTTTGTGAAAGAGTGTTTAAATGTAAATGTGATGCTAATAATAGGTAAAAAATAACAAGAAATATTTTTTTTTTCATTTATCCATTTCTAGGCCTTGAATTTTAGACATAATTATTTGCACAATGCTATGTCTTCGAAACACATAAAATTGAATTTTTAATTGCTCTTCGTGTGATTAACAGCCTAGCGATATCATCCTAAAAATTAAATAAAATAATCATAGAAACAAATGTTTCTCCTTATAAATTAAAACTTTGCATTGCAGAAAATAGTGCAAACTTCTATTAATCTTCATCCGCAAAAATTAGCATAATTTTTAAAGGGAAGAACATTTTAATATATTGTTCAACATATACCGATTACCTATTAATTAATCACCTCATACGTTACTTATATACCTCCATAAAGTTTTAATTCTATTTCATCAGCATTTCGCTTTTTCTATTTACAGAATATAATATCTAGCGCATATGAATCCTTATTTTTTATGATTTCCTTAGTTAGTCATCTAGCTACTGATTACTAATTTCAAAGCGTATATTAATTATAGTAAGAAGTACATTTTGCTCAGTATAATGTTATAAAAATGTATTCATAGGCAAAGTTAGAAAGTAGAGAGGGAAATTTACAGTATACATAAGTTTCTTTTCATCTTTAGAAATATGTACTATATTTCAAGCTTTAGCTTGAAACATTAGGTTTGAAATCGAATATTACTATATATAATAATCTTAAATAAATTCACATACCTTTAATATGTATTTAATGTAGCAAGTACAAAAATAATATACCTTCCTCGTTTAAGCATTCCACAGCTATTCCTAAACAAGGAGCCGGAATTTCTCCTTTGTAAATGGGTAAAGAATAATCATGCCTTAAAGCAGCTCCCATTAGTTCAGTGGATCCTAGAAAGAAAGTATTTGTTGGTCACCGTCTAATAAATATCATTTAAACATTTAAAATCCAAATTCGACTTCATGAGCAGGTTACCGGTCGTCAAAGGATAGAGTGAAATATTAGCAAGTCATTAATACTTTCATTAGTTATGTAGTTTTTGTTTATATATAGGAACAACTCAAAAATAAAAAGAAAGAATGTAAAGTTTGCAAAAACGGCTTTGTTCATTTACGCAATTACATCAATATTTTTCAATATTTAGCACGAAATTAGCGTAAGCAAAATCCATATTGTATTTTATCTTTGATTATCGTATGATGAAAACATCGATTCTCCAGAGTAAAAACGTGGAAACAGAAGGTTATGCATTTAAAAACATAAATATATTGAAATATTATGTTAATTTAAAAGCAATTTATCTAATGTTCTTCAAATATAGTTTGACTGTGTTACGGGAAATAGGTTCACGTAAAATGAAATTTATTCTGTTAATTACAAACCGTTTTATGACGTTTTTTCTTAATTTTAGTAGTCACAATAACATAAAGAAAACAATAAGAGCTATTTAAATACACCCCAAAGCAAACGATACATCATCAGCGAATGGCCAAATAGCTTAATGTCATCCAAACGTGTTTGGCAGTACCAGTCAGAGGAACCTTCAGTAGAGTCCCAAAGCATTTTTCCTGATAGGTGATAAAATAACACAAGAGAAGTCTATAGCATCATGTATTCTACGTTTTAGAAAGGCCACAAAACATCTGAAATTCAACTTCATTGATCCAGATTATGAACACAATAGTTGCCCACTTTTGTTCATGATTTTAAGTTCCTCATGCCCTCACCTTTTGTGGAACGATCATGGCATCAGAAGAAGCTCATTTCCCATTAATATCACTTGAACTCAAATATTCTTCTAAAACCCACTTCTTATTCGTAAACCATTCACTTCTTCTATTCCGCTTATATTTGGGAGTAGGCTTATGAGGTATTTCTCCCACTTTCCTAGCATACATTCATGGTGTAGTGGTTCTGCGCGCTGGGCCGGTATTCCAGAGGTCCGTGGTTCGATTCCCGGGGAAGGCGGTTGCTAATTTTTCATCTCTACGGCCTCCAACAAAATCCTAATGTCTCTACAGGCGTACAGACCATTGTGTTTGTATGGACCTGATGAAATTGTGATGCTGTTTTTGTCAATCCATTATTTCTCTCTCTCTAACACCATCTTCCACAACTATCAACCGGTAAATATTCAAATAGAAACAAAGACTTGCAAGCTACAAGCCATTTCTTAACCCTTAAATGCCTGATTTTTATTTTTATTTTTAAAGTCAAAAATACATTAGAATTGATATCAAATAAAGTAGGAAAATACTAAAAAAATCTAAACTATGTTTGTACTCATATTTTTGTAAAAATATTATTAACTTTTACAAAAAACATATGATGAGAAAATGTGTGTAATAACAATTTTATGTAATAATATTGTTAGGTTTTTGTATTTATTTATTTAGTTTGCTATTTTTAATAGAATTCTTATTAAATTGCTTCATTTTCCCGTGCAATGCTGCACGCGACTTATTTGAAGAGAAAGCTACGCCGGAAAAAATTAAAAATACAGGAACACGCGCATTTAATTTTTTTAAGGTGACTGTAATTTAGGACTGATTCCTTTTCGTCGAATCGGGTTCTACAACCACACCTTGTCTCCTTCGTTGAATCGATGTCCAACAGCTCTCGTGTGGTACCGAGTCTTCACCTTTTCCGTCTTCAAGCTGACTCGCCTTTGCATCACTTCAAACCTTGCCTGGAGATCTTGGACGTATTCTTCAGGCGATGAAGAAGCATCCTGAGAGCGACCAAACAAGACATCATATGGAAGACGAGGGTCACGACAGATGAGCATCTGGCACGGAGAACAGCCGGTAGTCTGCTGTTTCTCTTCCACCCTAGTACAATGTCGGCATATTTCTGAGCAGGGTCTTTTAGATAAGGAATCGGCGTTTCCAGGTGAGGATCCCTTCTGATGATGGTTATATCCTCTGATGCTGAAAGCAGTTTGTTGTTTCTGAAGTTCAAGGAAAAACCGTATTTCCTTAAAAGATTCAATCCGAATAGGCAGGAATCCGTAATATCTGCCACATATGCCGTGTGATAGTAGGCGGCACTTTCAAACGTGAGGTTAACGTTTAACTTCCCATCTATGGCGATAACACAGAATGGCGTCCAAATGAGTTTATCGTTAAACTATTGAGCTAAATCTCTCCCACTGATGGTAATATTAGCTCCTGTGTCAATGATCATATTGCAAGGAACTCCATCGATAGAAAGATAGATATAAAGTTGATAGAAAGATAGATAGATCATTGATAGAAAGTCTATTACTGCTGCCACTCACTGCATAATTCTTAAGTGCTTTAAAACGGGGTTTTTCAATGTCCTTTTAAACTCCACTCCGCGATATGATCATTAATTTTCCTGCGTCGTTGTTGGGAAATTTTCTTATTTTCCGTACCCTGGCATATTCTGCAGTTCCTTCGTACGTGGCCTTCAGCTCCGAATTTCCAATATATACCTTATAAACTTCTTCAAACAATTTTAAAACTTTGATTACATCAAAATTACAACAAACACAAAATCAAAAATTCGTAAACACAAATGCTCTCCACACCCTATACATCAACTCACACAATAATGACCGCTACACCGTTAGTGGTACCACCACACTGAAACTTCAAAAATACATACTTAAACATTAAGTATCCAAGTGGTTACACTATGCAGTAAGCTGCAATTTGTGTTTTTATTTGATTTACATGACTAAATATCAGTATGTTGCCAAATGGCAACTACGTGCATTTAAGTGCTAAGCAGAACTTTAAAAATCATGACGTAGTAGTAAGTAGACTTTAAACTTCTAATTAGAGATTTACTCTAAATTTTATTAACTTGATTTGATAAACTTTAAGATTTTTCCTCCTAAAGCAATATTTAAATAAATAATAAAATTTAACCCATTAGCCGCTGGTGTTGCGTTGACGTAACGGTCAAAATAAATGCGTATATAAATATAACTACCTAAGACATTTTATACCAGCAGATGATTTTGTGTAGGGAATATTATGAAGATTATTTCTGTAAAAAATATTTGCCTTCAACAATCATTTTGTTTATAATAATTAATTTCATACTTTAAGCAAATTTTAAGCAAAATTTTCGACCGAGTATTTTTGCTGAAAATATTTAACGTAAGAATCACCGTCTTTATGAGTGATCTATTTTTAGTCAAGGTCACCGTTTATCAGAACATTACATCAGTAAGATGTTTATATTTGTGTTGGGAAGGAAGGAAAAACAGGTGTTGCGCTGACGCAGCGTCAGCAGGAAACGGGTAGTCAATATCCTTTTTCACTCATTCCTTTCGATGTTCTGGATCATGTTCTGGTTGTTTAAAAATGCCTAGAACGAGGTATCTTACATTAGAAGAAGCCCTTCAAAGATTTTTGATGAAGAAACAGATGATGATAATGTTAATAATGACCAGAATGAAACTGATATTGTTGTTGTTCCCCCAGAAATTGCAGAAACTAGGTGACGAAGAAGAAAGGAATGGCAATGTTTTAAATAATGACAATGATATTTTACCAAATGATACTGCTGATACTGCTTGAAATTCACGTAAGAAGTAACTTTCAGCCTTCTAAAAGCAGTTATAGTCATAATAAAAAGTTTAAAAAGCAGAAGACTGAAATCTTGAAGTGGACAGAAAAGGAACTGTTAGTTATGTCTCAGGAAGAACATGAAAAAAGAGATAGAAGAGAAATTATAAAAGAAAAATACAAGGTAAAACTAGTGCAAAGATTTTCGATTTTCTTTTTGGTTTAGACATTTACTCTCTTCTCGTTGATACGCTCAGGAGGAAAAAAAAAAAAAGGCCCAGAATTTATTGCATCTGAAGCCTATATGAGAAGATTTATTGGAATTTTATTGCTTACAGGATATCATTCTTTACCTCAAGAAAAAATGCATTGGTCTTTTGATAAGGACATTTCTGTTCCTGTTGTACGAGAATCGATATCATATAGGAATATGAAGCAGAACTTGCATTTGACAATAGTCAAATTGACAATACTGATAAATTACTATATGAGGTGAGACCGTATCTAAACTTACTAAATATCACCACTTTTTACTACAAGAAATATAAAGTCTCTTTTAGATTTCAGACGCGAGAATGCATCATTCCTTTTGAAAACTCCTATTGAGAGTGTAGAATTAGCCAGAAATAGATCAGCAACAGGAAGACCTAGTAAATTCAGCATTCAAAAACCATTGCATGGAGATGGTAGACATTTTATCGTAAAGTCCGTTGATAACAAAAGACGGTACTTTTCCGTTTTGCCGGCGCAGGCGATAAAGTCGCAATAATGGTACAACTGATGCCAAACGGAATATCCTCGCTGGTAACCTTTTATGCATCATTTTTAAAACAAATCGCAGCCATTTCTTATCAGATTGATTGTTTCTTTCAATCCTGGCATTCAATTATATGAATGCCAGGATTTATATCAGCTAGTTCAATTTTATGCTCTAAGGCCATTCGTAGTAATTAAGTCAATTAGGATGCAATCACACCGCTCACCCGAAGGCGAAAATATAGAAAAGGCAAAGCCAAGAGTTAAATTCATCAATTCTAATGAGAATACATTAGCGAAGTAAAGCACTACGGTTTTACATAATTTTTGAGTAAGCTATTCGCACGAATTGAAATAACTCTTGCATTCCAAATTAAGATTTAACTTAAATTAATGAAGATCATTACTAAGAGAATTAGATTTTTGTAGCGTAGTTTTCGCGAGATGAGATTACGTAGGGTCACGGAATATGAACCGGCGAATCAGAAAGTTGAACCATGAAAGCATAGTAAATTCTTAATGTCTTTTTACAAATTTATGGTCTTTGTTTTTTGGCTTTTTACAAAATTTTAAACGATATTAAAATGTTTATGCCTTCCCCCCCAAAAAAAAATCTTAGAACTAACATTTTTTATGTGTATACTGTATGTTGTCGCCAATACAGTCATCTTGGCGACATTTGCGCCGGCGAAACGGAAAAGTACCCAAAAGACTTTGTTGTAAAGAGTACCATAGCCAGACTGTTTATAGATGCAAAGTATGTAATGTAGCTTTACATCATGATTGTAGTCAAGCTTTTCATGCTTGAATCTTTCAATCGAAATAATCTGTGTTTGTAGAAGAAATACAATGTATATTTTAATATTAAATTAATTACAAGTAAAGTGATTTGTAGATTTATAAAACATTATACAGCTAAAAAGTAATTATGTGCTCCACTCAAAAAAAAAAAAAAAATCATCACACGAGTACAATTCTACTCACTAAACATCCGTAATCTTATTCCGCTGACGTTGCGCGAACGCAACACTCGCTTTTTCCACAGGTAAGAGTATTTTTTTTTTTTTTTTTTTTCAATCTAAATTTATGTTATAAATGCTTAATTTAATATTTGTTATTATTTTCATGAGAAAAGAAACATTCCTTGTAGTTTTGGCTGTTAATGGGTTAAGATTAGAAATATATTCACTGTTTAGTCTTTAAAACCTTTCAGCATTTTATGTGTTTTTTTCCTTCTTTTACTGCCCTGTTAATTTTGTTTAAAATTTTTCAGACTTTAAATTGTTCCAGCATTTACTATTCATTACTAACAAAAAAACTCCCTAGTAACAAAATATCTGCAGAATTAACTTACTGAAATTTAAATGCTTATTGGGTTCTGTTTGCCTTTATATATATTTTATTTTATTTTATTTCACTATTTAACTTAACATTATTTTCCCTCTCACCCGAACATTTTCTTTTATGTTATAAGGTATTTCTCTCCGCGTTGCTCATTTTTCATCTGGGGGCCCACCAGCGGCCGAGCGGTAAAGTCGCTGAACACTGGTAGTTCGGTCTGAGGTTCGAATCCCGCGATCGGGCTGGCTGCATGGGTGTTTTCGTGGTTTTCCCATGTGTAACGTGTATACGAGCCAGTTTCCCTTGGAAAGTCCTCCACGAAGGCATCCCTCCCCTTAGGCAGATAGCCCTCGTGTGCTTTGCCATAATTAAATACACCAACACAATTTTTCATCTGTCCTGCTTCCAAAAAAGAACTTGTCTCTACAATGTTAAATACAATTAGTAGGAAAGCATTGAGCTTACCATAAGCAACAGTAAATATGACATCTCTTTTCACTTTCTTGTATATAAAGTCAAAGGTCTGTGGTTTTACAACACTCCCACCACTTCCAATTGCTTTTAAGGATTCCAAACTGTGCTTCTCCGCTGTCAAACAAATAACAAACAAAATTAAAGGAAAAAAATAACTAGAATAATAAAAACTGAAAACAAAACTTAGTCTTGTTTATTATTATATAGAAGAATTTCCATCAAATTATGCAAATAACGAATTACAACATTTTTCACGAAATTTAACGAATTTCACAGTAAAACGTTTTTTACTTTTTAGCCGAAAGAAGCATTAGCTCAGAAGTTCTATTAGTCTAAAAACGGGATTTTGCGTTGAATTATTATAAAAATCTTAATCACTTTTCAAATTGCTGCCATCCAATATTATCACCCTGCATTATATTTAAAGAAACTAAATAAGAAGAATTTGCATCAATGTAGGCATGTGTTTTGCGTTGCAAAAATCCAACGTTACTTAGATCCATCAAAATTTGAATAACGTTATCCTCCAATCAAATGTGGACGCTTGGAAGCTCGAATTTTGAATTTGTTTTATTGTGCATTTCATATTTGTAAAACTCTAACGAACTTTTGTCTAGCAAATTCAGTGATTTCAAGGCGAGCAATGGCAACATTCTAGGGAATAAGTCATTCTTATCTCCAGCGCGCGAGAGTGTCTATTGGTATTTCTAAAAATCGGCTGTTTTAAAATATTTTTTGGCCAAAAGAGCATTAGCATAGAGCGTGTAAGTGTATGTTAATGAAACAAAGATCCCTTTGGGCGTAATATAGAATTTGAAAGCTTTTAGATTCTTTTTAATATTCTTGTTTTTAATTATTAATCCAAAGAGGCTTTGTCCCTAAGTTACTATTGTTTTCATTTTCCGATTTTGCGTCGAATCACTCTGAATGTCTCTTTCACTTTACAAACTGATGCCACCAAATATTATCGCGTTGTAATTTGAAGAAATTAAATAATGAAGAATCTGCATTAAATGTATATATATTTCTTGTATTGTGATAAAACAATAGAGCTATCCAGAGCTATCCAAGTACCTAGAGCTATCCAAGTTTGAATGATGTAATCCTACTGCGAATGTGCACATCTTGAAGCGCAAATTTGAAAATTTGGAATTTTATATCTTGTAAAACTTTAGCGAATTTTTGATCAACAAACTCAAGGATTTCCTTGAGCGATGGCAGCGTTGTACAGAAAAAAAATTTATCTCCTGTACTGTATATCGGACTGTGTATCGGAAATTCTAAAGATATGTTCAATTTAAAATTATTTTGCGATACTGCTATTGAACTGAATTTTTTGGTTTAAGTGCGAAGAACGTGATATTTAATAAATTAAGGTAACACACAAAATGTTAAAAACCGCCCTTTTGGAAGAAATTTAAAATTTGAAACCTTTCAGTTTTTCTTTATTCTTAAATTTTTTTTTTTTTTCTCAGGAACAAACTTAACTGTAATTTTATCCTTTTTCCAGTCTCTTATTCAATTTGATAACTGCTGCTTGTTTACAGACTGCACTGAAAGAAGGAATGTTGTCTTTCTTATTCTATTAATTGAAAGATGTTTTTTAACTTTCTGTTTTTCTTTTTTTTTAATGAAATGCTTTAAATTTACATAAAATTATCAACTTCGAATATTTATTTCTTTTTGGAAAAAAGTCATTCAAATATTTGCAATTTTAACATTATAATTATTATTCTTCTGTTACTAAAAGTAAATACTCTTTCTATAATACAAGAATTTGAACGATCTGTAAATTTAAATGAGTTGCGGTTTAACGGAAAAATGTAAGACTTTAGCAAATTGCTTCAATGTATTAAAAATATTACGTTTAAGTAAAATTACCGTTCTTTGTCACAATTCTAAGTAATTATTCCCGGGCAAGTTTTAGTTTGACTTTTCAAAAATTTTATGCACACATCCAAGATAGTTTTATCACACAATAACGTAGATCATGCTTAAAGAAAAATGCGAGAAAGCATTTAGCTTAAAATCAAATTTATACAGCTATTTCGTTTTGATATAAATTTTATGATTTCGAAAGAGCAAAGTACAGGTCACTTTTGGCTCTTTAATAAGGAGGTCTCATGTAAAAGGTGTTCTAAATATGTATTCTGTGAGCTTAATACCAATCTATGTTTTGTGTTTAACTTACTTTACAATTGAATTATTATTTGCTGCAGAATCTGCAACTGAATTATTACAACTTATTTTAAAACTGAAAATTTACTTGGTTGAAGTTGAAAAATTTGAAAGTTTAGTCCTACTTGGCAAAAAGACTCTGAAGGTGCAGAAACTGAATTTGCTATTTTGCTAAGTTTCGAATGTGAACAAACATGGCTGCTCCGTTAGGCTTAATTGCACTTAGACAATATCTAAATTGTTGATAATTCTGAAAATATTGCATGCAGATTAATCTAAAGTATAAAAACTGTAACGCGAACATAAGAACAACATAATTCAATCATTTTTAAATCAAAAAATGCACAATTTACCGGCATAGAACAGAATTTTAAAAAAATGAGACCCGAGTAACAGAGTGGATATCTATATATTAGGCGTGTTCAAATGTAAAGGTACAAAATGACACGATACTATAGATATACTAGGCCTGAGCACAACTATCCTATTGTTTCACGAGACGAAGGATTTTCCTCTTCCTAGAATTCCTTGTAGGTGTGATAGGAGCCAGTCCTCCACAGTGTCCTTCAGCTCGTTATCCGAGTTGAAGCGCTTTCATTTGAGATGTCGCTTGGCGCTTCTCACCAAGTCGTTCACCTTCTCGATGAGTTTCGCCGTCATTACCGTTTTTTCCTGGCCTGGTGTCGGTTCATCACCCAAAGCCTCAAAGTCTTCACGAAAACTGGTATTTCACTTTCTCACTGATTTGTCAAACACTCAGTCTGCTCCGTATACGGGCACCATCCGAAGATGAATATGGGCCGGTTTAAGACCTTCCACAGTCAGAAATCTGATAACAGCCCGCTGCTCCCTCAAGCGTCGAATTTTGCAATGTGAACGCCAAATGTCATCACATGCACTGACGCATCAATTGCACAGAACACGCAACTGCCTGCTTCACTCTGTTGTCATGTCTGGACACTTGCGCATGCGCACAATCACGTCGGACACTACATTCGCGTCCTTGGATGTCTCGCTACGTTATGCCAGAGCGGCATGTTCAAATTTCAAAGGGTTTGTTTAATATGACATTTCGTACCTTTTCATTAGAATACCTCTTATATATATTTATATTTATATCATTTTTGTGCGACCGATTGCAACTAAAAAGAGGGGTGCATAACTACATATTATAGCAGTTCTATATACAAAATGGCAAAGTTCTGAAGCTGCTCGTTTTTGAATTATGCAGGATACATGCATACGTACGTAAGAACAGGAAATGTTTTAGCACAAAGGATATTTTAATTGTCATAACGCACCAGTAAACATAAGTACTTACAGGACAACTCTTGGATAGATATTTTTCAGTTTATTATCTTTCCATAAATTGTAGACAGTTGTACGCATTATAAGACATGTACTGAACTTTTGAAACGAGGCAAAGAGACAAAGTGATGAAGAATATTTTAGAAATCAGTTGCAATCGGGCTTATCAATTCACTGTTAGTTTTCTTCTTTATTTCGGTGAAACCGGAATCCAGTTAAGTGAAGCTAGTTAGGTGGAAGTTTTAGTATAACTTTCATTTATGCGTCCACAAGTATTATCTAGAATGTCAAAGGTAAGTTTAATATTTATCATAAGAATGGACTCTTCATCTGCAAGAATTTCGCCGTCCTCGGGATAAATTTTATTGCATTAAAGCTTTTTCTCTAGTATTAGAAACTGTAATGGAAACAAGAATTTTTCAGAAAATTTAGTCAGTTATAAAATAACTCTTGATTAATTCTATAACTACATGGGATTCACGATCTATGTTATTGTGCATAAAACATAAGTGTACTTAATTAAATCAAAACTAGTAAAAGTTTAAAATGCTGAAGTTTAAATCTTTAAATATTGCAAACAGATGAAAGAAATTTTAATAAAATTTTCTGCAAATCAATACGAACATTTAATTCAACATCAATTAAATACCATTAAAAATTCCATAAATTAGCAAAAAAAACTTGTTCATATATAAGTAAAATCATTAAAAGTATAGCCACGTTTGTACTTGGCAGGTATCCTTTCTTTTCCAAATCATCCAGAATACTGGCTGCGAATGAAAGATTGGTGATTTTAAACTGGTCAACCATATCCCAAATAGAAGTCGGGCTGATAAAATATGGAAAGCCTTCGTACAAGATGGTAGTGCAACCGAGAAAATGCAAGGTGGAGGTGATGTTCCAAGAAGCCCAACCAACCTGGAAAATGAAGATTTCACTTTATTTACAGCTTGATTTGACGACTGCATAAAATAGTTGGCGAAATTTCATATGATTCTGTCGATTGTTTCTCCTGAAATTTGTTTAGTCTCCAACAAAGAAGAAAATAATCTTATTTGCGGCAACTCCAAAATGAACAAAGGAATATTAATTAATACTTGGCGAAATTTTGTATGATCTGTGCAAAATAAATTTTCGATTATTATTTTTCTCTTGCTTTAGGCATTTCAGCTACGTGCAACGTATTTTCCCCAACAAATTTAAATAAATATACGTGGATTATCACAGTTTATGTCATTTAATTTGATTTTAAGTGTAGCTGTACATGTTTATTAAGTATTATCCTTTATGTTTGTTGTGTCTATGTAAAAGATGCATTCAGTGCTTTGATAGTAACTGTGCTTGACTGAAGATATTTTCTAAGTCGCAGGATAAGTTTAGAAGTGATTTCTCAATGTCTGTGCAACGCACGTCTTAATAGATTTTTAAGTTTTCAAACTCTAAAACAAAATTCTTCTTTTTAGCACCACAGGCAACAAACTTTAATAACAGCTAGCTTTCCCCCTACCTTTACGCTGCTATAAATCTACTAACTCACTCTCCTATAGTTCTCGTAATATTAGCATTCTAATTGCGTTTAATTCCATTTAATTTCTTTTCGTTACCCTGTTTTCTCCCTCCCTATCAATTAATTACATCACTTCTAAACCTAGGTTTTCACTCGCTGCTTACAATTTCCAATCCGAAAGTAACCTGCTTAATAGTTTTCTAAATATTGCCGCCCTAAAACGTGAATTTTCTTATCTCAGTAAAGCAACAGAAAGCTACAAAAATTGGCGTTTATTACTTCCTAATGCATAGTTTGTTTAATCAAAAACTGCATTTAAATTATAAAAAACTGAAGTTTTCTTACCGGTGACATTGAGAGTATTATTCGGTTTCTGTCTCCTTCACCGTATGAAACTGAATCTTTGGCGACAGATAATAAAAGCTAGAAAATTTAAAATTGTTTATATTTAGCATTACCATTGAAAGAGGCAAAATTTTAACATGAATTTCAAAACTATAAATTTTTTTTCATTGATATTATGAGTAAGTAAGAGATCGTGTAAGTTATTTCAAAGGTAAAGCATGACCAATTATTTATTGAATGCTTAGCGGTTAACCTATAGTTTCATCTTAAAAAAAGTACCAATCCTACGGAATAATCATAAGATAATGTAATGCATAAACGTAAGGTAATCTAATGCAACCCTTCCTGCCGATAATAATCGGTCTCATGGTTAACGCAGCGCAACTAACATAGATAAAAATTAAAATACAGCAATCATTCGCAGGTTTCGACGAATTGTGCATATCCTTTAGCATTTCAAAAATTAGAGACTATTAATTTGCATATTAAATGTTTTCAGATATACCGGGAAGCGCCCGTGACCAGTAATTATTTGATTGTAATCTATATCACATATCATTCTCATATTCTTAGAAACTTAAAAATTCAACTAAGCGTTTATCCTTTTTTCCGAAATGTTTGGCTTCTCTCTGCAGCAATTTTAATAGAAATCCTTCATTTTACCAATAACAATTATTTTTGATGCCTGAATATCGAGCGCATCCCCAGCATTACACATAGCAGCCATTCATTCTGAACAGCATGTCAGCCCTCTCATTTTCTATAACACCAATATGTTCAATATGACCCAATTCATTTTCACTTCATGTACTTCTCAACTTTCTCAACTGGTACAACAGCCAGTTCGCCTTGAAAAACCGAATTGTAAGGTTCAAGTCTAATTTTATCATAGTCTATTTCTGTAGCAAACACGTAAACCACATATGCTGCACCAGTTCCACTGCCCTACCTCGAACAGCACGTAACAATACTGTGTTTCTTATTCTATTCAGTGACTGAAAGACTGGAATATATTTTCGAAAGAATTATAAGCACCTGATTTATCTTGTACTCTTTTAAAACATTTTTCTAGGTATAAAACTGTTATGAAGTACATCAGGCTAATGAATTTCTTACTTTCATATATTCTCAAATATATAAGATATTAAATATTGAGCAAACAAATGTTTGAGGAAGGATTACTATGTAGGTGGTTTATTTAATTATGGCAAAGCACTCGAGGGCTATCTGTCTAAGGGGAGGGATTCAACTTTACTGCTCTGCCGCTGGTGGGCACAGGTTACTATATAACGTTTGATCTTTTAAAATTAGATCGACGTTAAGAAGCCTAAACGGAAAATAATTGCAAGGAAGCATTCAAAATACCGAATTTAATTAAAAGAGGAATATATTAAAATACTAAACAAATTAATGTAATCTAGAATCTATTTAACATCTCATCAGCAGCATTTGAGCTGCATCAAAGCAAATCGAAAATCAAATTCTGAAGTTCAGACATTTGCCAAAGGTTCTATTCAGACCGGAACAGCATTCTTCTTCAAACTTGTAAATATTTATCAATTATATTTAATTAAAAATTGGTTTTTTTCATATATAATATGACGGCTAGAAATTTAATTATTCTATTCTGAAAGATAAAATTCTCAAAATTTCACTAGTATATTTTGTCAATAATTTCATAAAATTAACCATCTAAGAACGGAATTCTAATAATTAGAGTAAAATAAAAATTTCTCAATCGATATTAAATAATTTATCAGTCCATTTTAGATTTCTGGTATCCTGTTCATACTTGATAAATATGAATAAAAAAGTAACAATGGAAAGATTGAAACAGGTAATTTTTGGATATTATAAGTAAGAATTAACACATTTCATGGTATTCTTTTTGCGCCAAGTGTAAATACTTTCTTGAATTTCGGGAAACAAAACTTTGAACTATTTTTTCTAGTTTCGTCTGGATTAGTTTTTCTCTTATAAGGCATAATAATACTCAATAAAATATTTACTGCAAAAAATATATCAGATGTAAGTATTCAAACAAGGATCATGTACTCTGGTTTTAGAGGGTAAATTTTAAATACCCCTTATTTTTGTTAAAACAACTAAAGGAAACGAAACGCAGAACATTAAAGATCTTGCTACTATTGGTAAAATCGTCAAAATTAAAAGATATTGAGAGAATTAAATGTAAACTTTTGCGTTCTATAGATTCAAATTTTATGTTTAAAAAAAGTGAAATATTTTCACAAAACGATGCCATGGCAATAGTGTGTCGCCTCTTACAAGATAGTTTTATTGAGATTTTAAATAAAAGTTTATTAAATTCTTAAAATGCTGAAACTTATGGCTACTTTTACTAGTCATCAGCTATAACTTGGAATTTAATAATTAAAGTTTTATTAGAAAAAAATGAGTTTGCTAAATCATTTTTGATTCTTCAGTTTGACTGATTAGCCATTAGAATTTTATTTTAATTCTAATTAAATAAATTGCATAGATTTTAATTTAAATAAGTAATTGATTCCTTTTTACAGAATGATTAAAAGCATTTTTTGGAAAATTAGAGTGTCTTAAAAATGAAGGTATAATTTTGGCCTTAGTGACATATAATATTCTACTGCAGTTACTGTAAAGACTTATCTTTTTACATTTATTTTCTTTCCATATAAAAATACAAAATTTTCAGTTACAGATCCTATTGTAGATGAAAATGTCCTAATTAAGTAACTCTTTTTCTTCAGTGATGAATTTTCCATATCAACTTACCCCAGCATCATTGATCAAAGCCTTAGGTAATCCAGTTGTACCCGATGTGTAACTAATGAACACAGGGTGCGAAAAAGGTACTTGTTCAAAGGTTATAGGTACAACAGATCCATCAGCGTCTTTCCCAGAATTCAGAAACTCATCCAAGAAGCAACTAGAAAATGACATATTTGAATTAAAATATCGACTACTTAGCCTCTTCTAATTTTTATTAATCAAAATAAATGTTAAATAGAAACCTACAGTCAATTCCACTTTATATTCAGCAGTCTAGGTACATGTAAAAATGTTAGTGGAATTTACTTAATACACGCAAATTATGTTTTACATTTTAATGATTCTGTTACAAATGATTTCCTCATACAGTTGTACCACTATATATGGACTCAGTATCTGGAAACAAAATTCCTTCTTTACAACTACAGCACTGAATCAATAATTGCATTTTACCATAGATATCTCGAAGCACTTTCTTTGAAACCTTTGCTGTCTCGAATTTACGATTCTGGGGCGTGAGCAATTAATAAGGAGCAAAATCGTGATCCCCTTTTCCTCAGAAAAACTGAGTAGTCCTCCGTGGCCTAAGACCTTCTATTTCCGAAATACGTGGTTGTACGCAGATAGGTGAGTGTCTTTATTTGTTTCTATGTGTTTTAATGTGAGTCGTCCAAAGTTTGTAACAAAACGTAGAGGCTTTCTTACGATCTTCAACCTCCAATATTCTGATAAATAATCAGGCGAAAATCTATACCTACGCAGTAAGTTTACAGTATATATTGAGTTTTGGAAAGTTAATTGTTCCTGACATCTTCCCCTCAAATAATATATGTATATTTCCTGATCCAGTGCTACTTGGATCATTGTTTTTTTAATCTTATTTTCGTCTATCATAAAATCAGTTCGGAGACCTCAATAGATATTACTCATGTTCTTGAATTTTCTGTATTACAATCCTGAAGAATACAAGAATACAGCAGGAAAAAAAACTTAAACTAGGCCAAAATTTGAGATAACTTAAAATACGTTTGCAACCATATTAAATAATATATAAAACATACTAAATAAATAAATTATCCGAAGACTCTGTAATAACAACATAAAGAAAATAAAGAAAATTTTCTAATATCGGAATCCTGAGATATGGAAAACTGTTTACGAATGTGTTAGAAAAATGTTAAGATCAAAGATCTCCAAACACTGGATCAATATTATCAATATTATAGTATATAGCTTCGGGTTATGTTACGGAACTGTGCTATAAGAACAATGCATTTGAAGGTAGCAAGTGTATTGCAAACTTCAAAAGCGGGATTTCATTTCTTGGAAGTGGAAACTTAAAAACTCCAGTATTCTATTTCAGTTTATGTCCTGTGTCTTCTAACTTCGAAATTTACAAAGGATAGGACTTTAACAGAAGCGACAAAATATGGCAGATTAAAAAACCATCATCTAGCAATAATGATGACACTGATTTACAAGAAGATTATAATGCAATGGCAAATAAAGAAGTAAAAGTATTGAAAAACACGTTGAAAATCTATTTTCAATCTTCTGAAAACATTTATTCTTAATTAATTTATCTCGATTAATGCTTTACAATAATGTACTCATTCCCGTACAGAGTTTTAATGGGGTAAGATTTATTAATAAGATAATTTTCGACAAGATATATTGAATTTATTTTTTCTATTTTATTTGATTAAACAACGTTGTTTAAACCTTGATAAGTTTACATTTTTAGTTTCAAACTTAAAATTAATATTGATAATATTTTTACTTTAACTAAGGCATCTCCAATTTATTCATTTTAAATGCAATGTCATGTTCAGATGCAAGATATTTTAGAAATTCAAACATTATTTTTTAAAAAATCTTTAAATTATATTCTCGTTAAATTTCAAATAAAATTTAAGAAATATAACCTAAATTTTATTTTAAATCAAATAGCGCATTTAAGAATTCAAAGTGAAAATTTTGTCATGCCTTCTTGAAAGTTACGCACATGTTATAACGAAAGTGAGAAGAAATTTTTTTAAAATTAAATTATCGTTAATCCGTGTTAATTCGAGTTGTGGTAATAATGACTTGCAGTAATAATAACAATATTATTTTATTTGTTCATATTTATCTAGGTCAATAAACATTGTTTAAAATCAAGTTGTATCAGATAAATTATAGGTAATAGTAGTAATAGTAGTCTTCAAGGCTATAACTAATACTATCAAATTCAGTTGACAAAAGCAGAGTAAGTAAATGAGTTATCATCATTCTTATCATTTCCTTGGAAAATTTTCCTCCCCCATCTCATTACTCAAATTTGATTTTCGTTTTTCTCAGAATTACATATTCACCAAATTCGGCAAAAACATTTTTGGCAATAATTGCAACAATTAAAAAATACCTGAAAATGAATTTCGTAATTTTCAGATGCTTGCATTCTTAGAAATTATAAAGCTACCTGTTCTTAATTCTACTGATATCTTTCAATTTTGATTCTTCTTTTGATGGCACTATGACGACTTTTTCTAAACAAGGTAGTTCTGCAATAAAAGCAAAAGAATATATCACAAAAAATTCTCTATTTAATTTTTTTTTTTCTAAACATGTATATGAAACATAAAGAAAAACAGTTTTTCCTTCATAATTGAACATCTCCAAGAGAACAAGAATGAATTGAGAAAAACAAAAAAATCATTCAAATAATGAAAATTGAAATTAATACAGAGAATGGGAGGATCGTGTAAAACTGTAGCTCTGCATCTAGAAGCAGACGTAATTCCACATTCCGAATTTGTTTCTATAGAAATTTCAAAAATTTAAATGGTACATTATAACATCTTAAACGTCAATAACAAAAGCTAAAAATTAAAAATAATCATCTCAGAAGCAAATCTGCTATCTCCTTTAAAGCCGTCAGAACAAACAATGCTAACTTGTAGTTACAAAATTTAGGTTGATCGTAACTTTTTATACTTCGATAAACTTAAACTTGCATGTTACAGTATTTGTATATAAAAATACACAAAATTCATTGAAACATTTATGCCTATTAATGCTCCGTTCGCTCAAATTTAAAAATATCTTAAAAGATTGAAACTTTTAAAATAATTAATTTTATATAGATTTCTACGTAATTTTAACGTGTACACATCCCATTGTAATATACTTTTATTTAAAAAGAATTTCTTATATTGATCTCTAGTTAATGAAAAAAAATGGAAAAACATTGAATTAACTGGTATTCGCATGCACTTGTTTTCTGAATTCCAATATTTAAAATACTGTTAAGAAATTTATAGCAGAATTGAAGAGGGGTAGTAATGAGCATTAAGATCTTAATGTTTTGATAAGCATTAGAGTTTATGTTTATTTACAGATAAAGCAAACTCATTTAAAATATTTGTATATTTTGGTTTCATTTATAAAATCAAATAATTGTGCTTGTAATGATAGTAAATGTCTAAACCAGAATTCAGATATACGTAAATACAAAAATTAGTTACGTTATTAAAAACATTTTTTAAAATTCTTTACAGGTGCAAATGAGTTTCAATATTGGCAGACTATATATTTTTAAAACTTCTTAACTCTTACCTTCAGTTATCTGAACTAGTTTTGTCAGCATATCAATCTCTTCTTTATTATGCTGAAATCTATCTATTGAAAAAAGTATTCTAGGTTTTACTAACTTGAAACGATTGACGACAGCCTATAAAATTAGAAAATGCTTTGTAAATACATATCTAATGTAACACGATGTCTAAAAATATACATATTACAGTGAAAGACAGAAGCTGAAAGACGGCGACATTCTCCGGTGAATGTCAATATACAAATGCGCCAGTAAAAGACAGAATATTTGGTTATATTCTTTCTTATACATTGGGACCATTAGCGGTGTATGTCCATAAGCACTGATATACCCTGATTACAGGTTGAAAGAAGAAGTCAAGAAGGTAGACAGCAAGGGAGTTATTCAGCGTTCTCCTATTTTGGTACATATCATATTGTGTTTATATAATAAAGTATTATTTAACAACGTAATAAAAACACTTTTAAACAACACCAACCATCAGTGCATAGGAAATGTCGGCATTTGCCGGTTAAGTGAGAAATAAGCAAATTTAGCAAATATTTCGGGCATACACCAAGCCGACCATGTGAATGTTGACAATCACCAGAGAATATCGACATTCTCCACATTTCGGTCTCTCACGACAACACATACAAAATCTGCTGTAAAGAGCTTCAAAGAATCAAACTTATGATTCACTGTACCTGTCTCCATAAGTTAAGAAAAGTAGATGATGCTCTAAAGTTTCGTACAAATTGACTGAAAAGTCGTAAAAAGCTGATTAATATTAGCAGAGCTATCCATAAGTATAAATAATAATTTCATTTAAGATCATATTAGAGTTTAGTTAGAACTATTACCATGCTTCCATTTTAATAATTTGCTTTTCGTTAACTTTATCATAATTTATAGTTACGAACGACTATTTCTGCATAAGATATAATTCAGCTAAAATAGCGAAAATAATGGTGAATTTACATTTATTTAATGTCTGTGTAAAATAAATGCAGTGTGTAATCTTCTGCTAGTTTGATGTGTGTAATTTTCTGCTAGTTTGATGTAGGTTTCAGGAATGTTTCAGACGTATTTTTATTCGAAAGTTGAAATGCCTTCTTGATTCTGCAGTTTTTGTGAACGAAACCTAATAATGATGTGCATGTTGTTTTTGTACCCATAATTTTGAAGAGACCTCTTCCTATGCAGTTCGATTCCTTATACTTCTTTAGTAGTTTTAAAGGGAAAGGGTCTTCGGTATCATCATTTTTCAATCAAATTTTATCACAATAAATGTATCAGTAGCATGTTTGGATTTAACGCCATCTCCTTGACAAACATCCAACAGTTCTGCATCTCAGATTTAAAATGTTGAAATGCTGCTTTTCTTTTGCTCCTTTGATAAAATGAAATTATCTTTTCATAATCTTCTTCTTCAGTGCTAAACAAGTCTGCCAAAACTAATCTGGGATAAGAATTTTTATAAGGAGTTTCAAGGTTTTCATAGCATTAGGATTGAACCAAGAAGGGTAATATTATGATGTACAAATTTGTCACTCTTAAAATGCATTTCTGTTATGCTTAAAACGCAGTTTTACCATAACTTAAGATAACTTTTCTTTAATGACACTTCAACCTCTTCATTCCTACTTGCACAGAAGGTGTAGCAAAAAGGAAAGGAAATCAATCATTATCCACTGTAAGATTTTGAAATTGCAATAAACAATGTAGTTTTAAATCAAGAGATGGATATTTGGATCGTGGGCGGAAAGTTCTTCCTCCCTTTGAAAAAGGCCTTTTTCAAAACGTTTCAACAACAGTCGTGCTTATGGTAGGCCTTTTAAGGAATTCATGCTTTTAAATTCATTTTTTAAATATTTTTCAAGTATCAAACATATGACATTCAGTTCTTTTCACGTTGCCATGAAGCAAGAAATATGGTTCGCACTTTTGATATTTCTCCATGAGAGTACTGTTCGCTTTTTGATTTTAAAATTTGATTTTGTATCATACTGTTTAATAAGAATCCCATTCCGATAATGTAAAAAAGATCTGTTCACTCTAATGACAAGAAACAAAAGCCTAAACACATTCCGCTTTTCAGTGTTAAATTCTAAAACATTCCCCGATTCTTCGTCAATTTCCATTGAAAAAATGTTTCTCTGCTTCTTAAATGTATTCACTAAGATCTCTCGAAAACGAAGATTTACTCATTTTTTAACATATTCATAGAATATTCCAAACATTGGAAGGTCACCAATACATTCTCAAGAAAGTTCGACTAAAATAAGAATCTTCCCTCATCTGGAAGAACTGAAAGGGAAATCATTTCATCAGCAACCTATCCTGCCTAATGAACAATAAGAAACTATTTCTTAGTCCAAGATTTATCTATTTTATCTATTGGTCTTTTAAAAATTTAGTATTGCACCTCTCCCGTAGTTTGTTTGCAGTGCAAGTAGCGATAGAATTTTGCAAGACAGTTTCAAAAGTTTTATAAAATATTTTCTATAGATGAAAACATTCCATAAAAGTCTAATATCTCACACAATAAAACTTCAAGAATAAGAAATTCCATATCTTTGTATGTAAGATTCTTGAAGATATTCAAGAACGAATTTAGTGAACCACACCAGTTTTTCCAACCAAATTTTACTTAAATTTTAATGCCAAATGTTATTAAATTTTACTTATCAGAAGAGATTAACCCCTTTTCGCCACGGCGGAAATGGCCATTTGTACGTCTTCAGTTAATGCGTTTGCTCTGTCCTTACTATAAGTTGGGCGCATTAAAGGGGTACTGGTTAATAGTTGTTGAATATACTTAGCACTAGTTACTCTGACGTATTCTGGGTTGCAAGATGTAGTAGTTGATAATCATGACCCGTTAAAAGTATATATTAAAGATAAATTTGCAATTTTTGAATTAAAAAATCTATGAATTAGCCACATTTTTGCTTTGTAAGTAAACTGAGTAATCACCATAAATCAAACTTTACCTGAGCACCTAATTGTGGCAATGCTCCCGTAAAAATAGCTCCGATGCTCGTTACACCAAGCATAGGAAGAATAGCTTCTTTTCTATTAGACATGTAACCTGAAATTAAAACCCTTAATTTAATTCTAAGTTCAGAAAGAAAAACTTTATCTTTATGCAAAGAATTTTTTTGAAGTAAATTTATTTTGGTTTTCTTTGGAAATTTCGATTCAGTATTTCAAAAAACAAAAACTCGTACTTAAAAATTTTACAACATTTTATATCACAACTAAAAGTACTTACTCATATGCTACTGAGATAGAGGAAAGACAGTTATGTTTATATAGGGTTTACACATTTTGAATATTCAGTATATATAGAAAGCATATTAAAATGTTCATAAATAAAGTCATAATAAATCGCTTGTATTATATAAAATTATCTTATTGCTTCAAAATTATAATTAGAAACAAGAAATAAAAAATACGAATAGGAGAGAGGAATAAGCATTCCTGGCGGAATAAACTAACCAAAAGCTGAAAGAACTCTTTGTAGCACAGGTGTAAAAAAGTGTAAAGCAGAGGAGGAAAATTTCTAGAGAATCTTCAATAACATGTTTGAATTTTAGATATATTATTTAGTTTTTTAATATTTAAAATATGTAGGAAATTACATGGGCAAAAAAGGTTTTATGCATCTTAAGAATTATATCATTTGAAGTATGCTATTTTGTTTGACAGACCATAATAACAGTAGTGATGCTGAACTGAATTTCGGTAGCTTCAATTTTCATCAGTTTTTATTGCAGAATTTGATGACGCGAAACATAATAATCGCCCTGCAGTGGAATAAGAAGGCACAAAACTAAAATTAAAATTTTATACGTTTTATACTAAATGCCATGGGTAAACCATTCACTACCAGCAAACTAAACATTGCCTTTCTAAGTGTAAACAATTTAGGACACACTTTTATCCATTATTATTTGAATGTGAGCTAAAAAATTATGATGGATTATGGAACTGTAGCTTCGTATATTGAGTTTAAATAACTTCATTAAACTGCTATAATTCCATTAAATATTTATACTGAAAATGAATGTAATTGAAATTTTTATGAAAGATTAAAAATTTCATATGATCAATGCTTGAAACTTATGTGCCAATTTAATCCCTAAAGGGATTAATTACTCTTGACGTTTTCTCTGGAGAAAAATCTATTGGTACAGAAATGAATGTTGTAAAATAACCTCCTGAACATTCAAAATGTTACTATGACAACAAAATATGTTTTATTTTAAGGTATAAACAAGCTTTGTTATGATAACAGATCCTTTCAAGAATTTTAATTAACTTTTATTTATTTCCGAGCAATAGTTTGTAACAATTTAATTGTTAAGGTTTACTTTAACGTATAAAATGTATAATAATTATGGAAATTAGTTTTAAATGCTACTTATTTTGATAGAAAATATAATATGCATACAAGCAGCAATATCTCCTTTTTTCAGACCAAATTTTCTAAGAGCTGCAGCATATAACGTAGCTTCTTCGTACATTTCAGCATACGTTGTTTCGGTAACTTCGCTTTCTTCACCTGTAGCATGGAAAGGAATAAATAAATAAGAAGAAGTAACAAAAATGAGATACATAAATAAATTGATAATAAAAAACAGGTTTGATTTTGTTTACTGTAAGCGATAAATATTTAAATTACCTTATTTTTGCGTGTTTTTGCCTCATCCTTTACGTCTAATTAAAATAAATATCAAGAGGATAAGCCGAATATCGCTTGTTTACCACCTATAATATACTTTTTTCTTGGTTCGGAAGTATGAAATCAGCAAAAATGAAAATAGTATTTACGGCAAACAGACAAAATTTTTATTATCGGAGAAAAGGAACTTTCTGTGTTTAGATACAGTTTAATACGTACCTCGTAGCTAAATCGTTTGCCTGATATATTTCTTCAAATGACTCACAACCACAACTGAACCTGTACACTCGTGTGTAAAAATAACAGAATTTGCATGTTATGTCGAATTTCTGAAAAACTAAGCAGCATATTTTGATGAAATTTCACATGAATATACATTTATAACTGAGAGAGAGATCTACTATTCAAAAGTTATTTTATGTGCACATGATTATCAGAAAGGCTCGCAGTCATCATGTCCACAATCCAAATTTTGACATCGAACTGAGGGTGAGTCTAATGTGGAATATAGTCCAGTCTCACAGCCATACGGGTTCAGGCAGCATGACGCATACTGGACAGCAGACAGTTGAGGAGCACCTGCGGCAATCTATGGCTGTTACTTCTTTAGAACAACTTGTAAATTAAACTTGATAACTTGAAATTTGACTTAAACATAAATCTCATAACTTGATGTATTTAGTGATACTTTGATTCCTGTTGCGAAATTGTATATTTGGGTACATAAACGCAGTAGAAGAAGAACTTTAGAACCGTTCTTCTATCTTTTCTTCCTTTCTTTTCTTAACGCCCTTTTCTCGTTTTGTTAGGTTATACACTTAGAAAGATAAGTTTAAACGAAATATTTATACGTTTAAAATTAGAAATATACTATTAAAATATTGTGAGCTTCCCAAAATAAGCACGCTCAAAAGGATTTTACCTGTCGATATCAACGCCACATGATCATCACGATATTTCATCAAGTTCTCGGCATAATTAAGCTTCGCTCCTTCGAACCAGCGAGGTGAATTTTCCATCGGAATGCTCAAATCAATAACCTATAATAAGAAATAACTGAGGCTAAATAAGAACTGAACAACATAAAGTATCATATTTGTGCAGTGTATCTTACAAATCTCAGACATTTTATGAAAAGTTTATATGCTAGAAAATATTGAGACTGTTAATGTGTATAATCAACATATTTTATTTTTTTCACCAATAATGCCATTGCGGAGTACTTATAGTTGTGAGGTTTTATTTATTTATTTTGACTAAAAATTAATTTTGAGTTAAAGTAACTTATTCTGTCGCTCTCTTTTTTTACCCACGCATTCCATACCAGAATATAAATTAGTTAGCGCAAATTTATACAGATTAAGGGAGAACTAAGGTTTCATAAGTTCATCATAGAGAGTTTTCAGCTTGCTTGAGGCCACGTTGTTACCGTGACACAATAATGATTTGATTCTGAGGAGTTGAGTGCTTCGAGTCATTTGACTTATCCCGCTATCTTCTATGACCCAGAGCCTTGCTGAGCGTTTACTTTATCTGTGAGCCATTATGTTAGTATAATTACACTTTATTTTAAGTTCAGCATTACATATTTTAAGTTAAGCCAGAAGTGTTGGCTTATGAAACCCAAGTGGGGTCGGACTGTCAGTTCTTTGTGATGAAATAAAAAGGCTATTTACATCATTCTTCTGACTTATGTGCCTACTGTTAACTCCTTTTAAAAGTCAGAACGCCCGAAATAGCCTGTCATTCAAACAACCGAGATTGTGATGTTGTTTCCTTCCCTCCCTCTAAGGTATTCAGTAGCTAATGCAGTTTCCCCAAATGCATTGTATCACTTTACTGCAGACAGCTTGTCCTAAAAGGTTAACAGAAGCTTCTTTGTTAGGAAGTAGAAGGGATGTCATTTGAAATCTTCACACCTCTTTGTGCGTTAATGGATGGGGAGGGGAGTATTCCTGATAGACTTTCTAAAATGAATAGATTGAATTATTTTGATTATGGTTAATACTGCACATTACCCATATACAGATAAATGTTACACATAGAAGTTATAATACAGATACCAAACTCAATCGTGCAAAATTACCTTAACTTTCAATTATAATTACTTGTATTAATACTAAATTCTTTATAAATATTACATGCCGGCTGTTGTATGATAGACAAGGGATTATTGCAATACCAGGAGCATTAATTCATCTTCCTTTTTATTTAATTTCCTTTTTATTAATTTTTAAGTTTGTTATTTAACTATAGTAAGGAAATTTGATTCATGCATAGTTAAATTAAAAAATAAATTAGAATGAAAATCATTTCGCTGTAATATAATGCTGATAAAAATTTAAAGTAATTATATTCAATTTATTAGAATAATGAATAACTTAACGCAGTAAAGATATAAATGAAAACGCACCTGGTTGATTTAAGAAAAAAATTACAAAAAATATGAAAATAAACAATTTATGTTAAAATCATGTAAAAAAATGATCATAACGTATCTTCAAAACATTATCCTATAATACTCAGTGCAAAATCCTCAGTGCAGTTAATAGTTCAAAGATCACTTTCTTGTTCACAGTCTCAAAATTTCACTTCTGCAGATCATTTCAGCCATTGCTGTTGTTTGTATCCCCTGTCTTTAATTAAAACATAGACACAGAGAGTAAAAAAATTTCGGCGAAAGCATTTTCTCATAAGGCATTCTAAAGTAGGAACTGACGTATGTTGAAAGTGTTTTAAGACCCAAACTCTTCCATCTCTAAGTTTTATTATCTTCTATTATCCTACAAATCAAAAACAACTGCTAGTTCACCCACTATTAAGCATTTTCGCCCATCATCCCGATCATTTTGTCAATGAATAGAACCAACATTTCTAGAGACGATACAACGCATAAATATCTATGATTTCAAATTATCAATTTATTTTGCAATTATTACAAGCCAAAAAATATTTTCTTACAGCAGTCTGAAATTTATAAATTTCAGATGTCTCAGTGAATGGATATCTGTCAGTATACCGCTTAAAAATATTTATAGAGGAAACAATAAATGATTAATCTCACAAGGATTGAATGTGTGGAAGTGTATAATGATGTAGTAGTTCACCTTAAAAAGATATTGCAAATCTTATGAAAGAGCGTGTCTGAATGCTTGATACCGCAAAAATCGTAAACAGTTTTCAGAAAACTCTTTGGATGATATCTAACTCAGCTTTCTTATTACCTAATGCGTGAAATGTACAAATGATAGTATTAGATGTTAGCAAACATTAAAATATGAAAATGGGTAATGTTGAAATAAATTATAATACTGCGAAGAATAGTACTCACATTACTAGTTAAATATTAACATCTTTCCAAAAAGAAAAAGCATGTACCTTATCAAAGGATTTTGAGCAAATAATATTAGAAAAATGCCATATTTCCGCCCAGAACTCTTCAAGATTTTCAATAGACCATTTATGCAAATCCCAGTAGTCATCTGTCAAGAAAAAAATAATATTTTATTGAAATTTGTGAACATTTAAATGTTGTTCAAATTTACAATTTTATTGTTTCATTGATTCATATTGTTGATTAATAAAGGACTTCTTACTATTTCCGAAAATTTAAGATTTAGAATAACTTCCATTTTTCATTGGTACATCATGTATAACATCATGTCTTCTTTGACATGATTGGTACATCATGTCTTCTTTGACAGCAATTAAAAAATTCTATTTATTTACATAACAAAATATGTTAAAGCAGCACTCTTAAAAAGAGTGTAACGCTCTTAAAAAGAATTAAAACACTTTTAAAAAAAGTAAAGTAACACTCTTAAAAAGAAAAGAGCTTTCATTTCAAATGTCATTTTGTCAAATATTAGTTGCACTGCGTAAAACATGTTACAATTTACTACATATTAATCGAAAATTAAATACGGGAGTTTGCATGAACATCCCAACACTCATGGTCGTTATTAGATCAAACTCTTAAGGTACTGTACCATTGTAACTCTATCAACTCTATCTACGTAATTATCTCGCCAGACAAAAATGAGCGAAAGTGCGTGAAATATATTTTTGTTAAATTTGTGCTTTTTTGTAAATTAAAAATGTTTGAATTGATTTGTGAACTCATTCCGAATATATTTCATTTTTAAAGTACAGAAATGTAATTGCAGTAACAGATTGTTAATTTACTGTATATTGAGTTGAAGCATGAGCGATAAATCTGTATTCTTAAATTCAGATTCTTGTGGACAGCAAAAGAAAGCAGGATTAACATATAAAGCCCTCGGTAGACTATCAGATGGTAGGGCTATTAATAGCGTAGGAATCATGTTAAAATGTTTTTGTTGCTTTTCCTCCGGATTCTGAAGAAGTTCAGACAAGATACAAAAGATCGTTGACACTAACGAAAGTCGAGCAGGAAGAGGGGTTTGTTATAACCATGCTGGTAGGAAGTAAGATGGAGTGGCCCCAATTTGTTTCTCCCATACACTGCTTTGACGCACTGGCGATCCCTTCATGGTACCAACACATTGGGTCATTTACTATTAATTTCAATGGGTTTTGACACGATCGGACGTAAATATTTTGTAATTAAGTTGTAAATATACATATAAATGAATATATTTTCTTTTTCTACAATATTTCAGAGTCCTAAGTGCATGAAAACAATACATTTTTAAACAACATTTCATTCTGAAAGGAATTAAATGCTATACTTTTCACAGAACAGTTTGCTCAGAACGGTTTAATTTGAATGAAATATTTTCACAAGTTTTCCTTAATTACATTACGAAAAAAAGTTTAACGTAATTCGATTTTATTCGGTTAAAGATTACAAAAATTAAGATCAAAGTTTATTGTATTATTAATATTAAAATTATGCGTTATTTCTTTTCTATCTATAGAGCTTCTTCCTGAAATACGTTCTCAAATATGACATGATTTTCTAGCTTCTGAGGGATCTTTTAAATCGGAAAATCTAAGTCAATTTATAATTAATGCTCTATTCGGTCCATTTCAAATTAGAGCACTTCTTAATTTAATAGCGAAATACGTTAAATAGTACTTAATTTTCTCTGAATATTTCTAAAAGGGAATAAAAATTGAATTTATTTTTAATATTATTTGAAACTTGTAACTGAGTTATTATAAAATGTAAGCGAAATAATTCTTTTAATTAAACTTATGAGATTTTTTTTACTTTTAATTTCAACAATACATATTCTAAAACTCTTCTTAATTACTTTAAGTACGCATTTCATAGAGTTTGCTTTACAATACATTTTAACAGATTGCTTTCCAGTACGAACAATCAATAAGAGGACCATTCATGATCGGACCTTCTTTGGCAGGATACACAAATGTTTTCACCTCCGTCGATTACCCTATTTTCTAATTCTTAATAAGCTGACTTGATGATGTGGCACATTAACATGATCACATCATCTTGACCGCACATGGTATTTCCGCAGAATTCGCAAATTTATTCGTCTTCTGTTCCATATATTTGTGCAAATCTGTACATAATTTTACGCAAATGTGTGGTTACAAATCAAAGAAAATTAACTTATTGGCATATCTGTGTGTATATTTATTAATTTTGACGAGGATTGCAGCATTTGGTGGTAATTTTATTTTTTAATTAACCCAAATAAGTAAAACATGTAAACCCAAAGTGATTATTTTTAACTTATATAAAAATAAAATGATCAGTTTAAAATGAGCAACTATAAAGACCTCTCCTCTAAAACTTTTTAACAAGTGTCACAATAATATGTGGATGACCAAAAAAATATTGTATTTAAAAACATTTTGGTGTTTGGAACATAAAATAAAAGTAGCGAATACTCTATCAAGTGTATCGAAAGTCGTTCGCAGTTTTAAAGGTACGTAAGGTATTTTTTATTCTTTAAGCATAAATTTTTTGCTAAAATCTATATTTTTGTAGTTCAACAGCTTAGAACGTTATAAAACAAATTCATAATTAAAATCAGTATTGTTTGTTATCGAAAAATAATCAAGATGTGATTTTTGTGTAAATATCACTTAACTATGCAAATTGCTATTATCCATTACACAATGAATGTTTCTTTTATGCGTAAATGTCCTGTTTTTCAATTTGTATGGAACTGTCGTGTGTTGAAATGCTATCGAAGCGCTGTCAAGGGAGCTTCTGAATGTAAACAAAAAACACCTCATCTGGAGACCGAAACTTCGGAGCAGTGCTTCAGTCTTAGTGAAGAGCTGACCACCCCTTCCTTTCTTATCTCCATGGTTATAACTATCCTCCCTAGAGAGGTCGAAACAGACCAAAATATGCTCGGCAGAAGCCTGATGTTCTCAGCACTTGGTGCACATGGAAAAGGTTTTCAAGCCCTCCTTGAAAGAGAAGCACTTAATATGACAGCTGGCAATACGCGAGAGCGCCGTCTATGAGCTCCTGCCACACTTAAGGTCAAGAGTCCAACCAGGAGGCTTGCTAATCAAGTACCAGAATGGAGGTAAAGAAAGTCCTTACTTCCTACCTTCATGAGTACCAGTGATGGGTGTGGGCAAAAGTCATTCCACTATGATTTGTGATTTTTTTCGAATAATTCCAGGTAGGTGAGGGCGGAGAAAGAGCGAATTAAAAGTCCACAGTCTTGCATTGCTAATTTGTCCACCATTCTTTTGCTGTAAAGATCTACATAAAAAAGGGGGATTCAATGTAAATGGATATCATGGTTCTGGGGAATTAACTGTAGTTTTTGTAGGATAGAAACATCGATTAAATATCGCCTACAATAATCCAATTATCAAGATGTTCAAGTGAAAATAGGTTAACGGATCCAGTTGCGATTCATAAGTTAAACTGATTTTCCAGTTGGAAAATTTAATTGCACTATTTTAGGTAACATATTTTATTTTTGAAAATTTAAAGCATTTTATTTTTATTCTATAAGTAAATAAGAGAATATTAATCATGAAGCATCTTAATTTATTCTTTACCTATATAATTTTTAGTATTTATTTATATATTTAATTAATTTATTTTTATTTGTTATACAAAGTAGATTAAATGAAAATATGCACGTACAGATCTTTCCACGTGAATTTTCAGCTTGCTCTAGATGAATTAAATATATATAATGTACATAATGTATTTTCGTAAATGCCATACGGGCTGTTTCGTAATACGGTCAAGTAGTGCTAATCTGATAATGAAGGTTTTCATTCTAGGAAAAATATAGACAATATTTTTGCCGAAAGAAACAGTGCTATCAACAAGAGAAAGAGAGATCAAGCCTGCGTTTTTTCGACCAATCTGCAGCTCACCCGAATTCCGTAGCAGGAAAGGTTGAATATATCAGAAATGCCGATCCACTGTTGTCTTTCTAAAGACTTGGAAATGCTTAAGCATTTTCTAGATCTAGTTAAAGAATCCATACTTTTCGTGAGAAAGCAGTTTTCAACATAAAATTGGGATTCTAGACACGTCCAATTTCTGGCAATGAATTGCTCTAGCCCTTTACGTTTCTTTCTCTATACAATATAATGTATATGTCTTTTCTCGTAAATTTCAAGGAGGCAATACTTCACTGGTACACTACATCACTACATCAGTTTATGTAAAAACCAGTAAAAAAAAAAAAAGTAAATTTATTTAATCCAAAAGCCAATTCCGTGACATAGTTTTGATCTATTTACAAATTTAAGAATAAATGAATTCCATAAGTATCGTATTGAGAGAAATTAATGTAAACTGGATATACATCGAAAGCCTATACTTACTTAAAGTGACATTATACTTGTCCACTATTCTTTTCTTAAATTTCTTAATATTTTTCCCAAAATTTCCTTTTGGCTGCCATACCATCTCCACATTGCTAAATTTTTTACTAAACATTTGGACCTGCAGAATTACAAAAAAGTATTTTATCGTAAGTATTGCTTTTGGAAGTTAATTTTACCAAGAAGTTCTCACTTTCTATTAATATAATGGTAATTTTACAAATATTCCAAGCTATAAATTGTAAATATCCTTACATTTCAACACTGAAAGGGTTAGCTCTTTTCATGCATTAAGAAATATTCTGCCGATAAAAATAAATCCATAAACAAAGAAATAAACTAAATTAATGAATCTATTTGACTGAGACAAATATTTAGAAAATTCGAACTAAAGTATAGAATTTGTAAAATTTATATGTATACTTACATATATATGCATCTTTAAATTTCAAAAAAATTGTCTTCGCTATTTAATGGAGCATTTATTAATCTCTATGATCAGATGGAAATTAGAATTTATTACTAATATTTGTATTTTCACTTTTATGTTGAAATTTCCTTAAATTGTAGCCAAGTATTGAAAATGCTGACCAGAACGTACATGCAATATATGGCGATAATTTGCTATATGTTCGGACACTAAGAAATTAGTGAGCGAACTTATTAAAATATTTTCGACATAACCGAGGATAATAAATATCCATTCACTTAATTTCGCTAAATGATATTTTATCTATTTGTTAATTTAGATAATCTATTTTCATTTGGGAAAGAGCACAAGCAGATCAGAATTAAAAAAGATTATTTCGCATATGTGATGCATTAACTGCTGTTACAAGAAAATGACACTGAGCTCACCGAACCGGGTAACAGTGTGAGAATATATATATATAACAAATATCATTATTCCATTCATATAAAGCTAATTAAAATTTTTTAAATTATGAAAATACATTTGTAAACAAATAAAATGATAATTGTTGCTTCGAACTAATTTGCAATACCATTTAAATTCAGAAAGCATAAGTGAAAGCATCTAAATACATGAAATATGAATTAGATAATGATATTGTAAATGCTAAATTCAAATTTCATTCTTGCAGCAATGGCGCACGAAAATTATTTAATTTTATTTAACTTTGCTAATTACTTTCTTATGAAACAATATATATATACGTTTAGCGGGGCCGATTGTAACGAAAAAGGGAACTTCACAAGTACATGTTATAATAGTCCTGTATACACAAAATTTTCAACATGTACTTATGTACGTATAGATGTCACGAAAAAATCCGTTCTGAATCAATTTTGTTGTGTAGAGAATTTGTCTGATAGCGTTATAAAAACTATGTGAATGATTTTCTGATTTATGGAAATCTTAATTTTTATTTGATTATGAATTATTTATTTTAAGGCTTTAATTTTGGGGAAAAACAGATGCTTCTGGAAATATTATTTAGTTTAAAAGAATATTATTTATTTTCTTTTATTTGCAAATTTTGTACAAGCTTTGATTCTTGTGAAAGAAGCGGAATGGAGGCAATTTTTTCCAATCATGATTTCGCGCGCTTTGTCCTTTAGAATTCTAGAAGGATTTTTCATTGTGGAGTTGACCTTAAGAGAGGAAGTACGTGACAGAAGGGTCAGAGGATGCCACTTAACCTTCGATGGAAGTCATTCAGGTTTTGGCAATCGGAAGGTCCGGTTGTTGGCTAGGTGAAGGAGGAGCGCGCATTCGTCCTTATTTCCACATTCAGGGGTTGAAACGCAAATTTTGCCAAAATTAAGGGGGCGATAAGTGAAGCCAATAGTTGGGAGCCCGCGTTTGTGAAGGAGACGAAGAAAATTTGAGGTTTGAATCACTTTTCGTGCGAGACTTGCTTGCTGAACTTACTTTTAGACGTTACTCTTGAAACTTGCTCTTGGGGTTGAGCAATAGAAACAATGTAATTTACGAAGAGAGACGTTTTTCCGGCGGGGAGCGGCAAATATGCTCCCCGGCCGTGTTTGGTTTAAGAGACTCACTTACGACTGCGTTGGAACTTACTTTGGCGTTACTCATGAAGCTTGCTCTTGGGATGAGTAAGAACATGCGAGCCGTAATTGCCTAAAAAAAACTTTTTCTGGCCGGAAGCTGCAAACACGCTCCCTTGCCGCGTTCTGGTAAAGAGGCGAAATTTGAACGAGTTACCTGCGTGTTGACTTTAGACTTTCAGGACAAGCGGATAGCCGTCCTGGGCAGCAGTGCTCCTTTTCTGTTTTACAGAAAAAAATTATTTCGGCACTAATGAACCTTTACCTGCGGTGACTTTAGACTTTCAGACCAAGCGGAGCCGTCCTGGCAGCGTGCTCCTGTTTCTGTTCTACAGTTAAAATAACGTACAGTGTAAAGATGAGCCCGGCCGACGTCACGCTTATTAAGATACAGTCCTCCACTGCAGATGTCCACACAAGATTTAGATAAGTTTTTTTTTTTTTTTTTTTTTTTTTGTGTGTTTTTATTCGATCCTCTCACGTAAGTAAATTAAACATTGGTGACGTGCCTCGCTGGAAGGATCGAATCGCAATTGATTTGAATTTACCTATTTTTTGTATTTCTGTTTTAGACAAAGTCCTTATATTAATTTTTTTTGATTTGGGTTGCTTTTTGTTAACGAGAGTGAAAAAGGTAAATTTCACAAATTTGGACTTCGTTCTCCTTTAGACCTATATAGAATGTAGGAATAGGTTGTAATTTTTTGTTTTAAATCCTGATGTTTTCTGGATATACTTTTTAATTCTGAACTGATACAAGTGGAAATGAATTATTCACGATAATCCTATGCTATTTTTATCCTATATTTCGATGCTTGTAAAATGGCTCATTTTTTTATCCTATTAACGCGAGACTTGATGCTCTAATTATTTTACTGAATGAACAAGCCATCTTTCCTAGCTCAAATTTTTTCTTGTGTTTTGCTATTATTTAACCTAGAATCTTGTAAAGTAAGTGAGGGTACGTTAGAAATTTTTATTGTTTGGTAATTGAATAATATTTGACGTATGTTTTTATGAATTCTCCGCGTTATTTATTCTTTTTGAAATGGATGATTCCTTATTTGTGTAGTAAGTATTTTGCAATGAATTTTAAAGTTTCTTACGTATTATACAATGATTAGTTAAAAAAAGAGGTTGTTTTGCAATTCAAATTCTGTTTTAAATAACATGGAATTTTTGTGAGATCACAACTATGATTTTGGTTATTTAATTTTTTTGGATTGAATTCATCGCTTGAGGAAGTTCTAATTTTTATTTTCATAGTATTGAGATTATTATCTTCTGAGTTTTAAGGCTGTGAAGTTGTCATGTGAGAATTGTTTAAAGAGAAATAACAGTCGTGAATTGTAAGTTAATTTTAATGTATTTTGCACAACATTATTGTTTTATGAAATTTTTGAAATAATAGAAAGTTTTTTTCTCTGAACTTTTAATTTCTGTTGATTAAAGTATTTGTCTTGAATTTACTAGTGAATCGTAATAGATTTGATTTATTATTATTTTCTTCTTGTCAACTTGTTCTGAATTTGGGGTTTCTTGTTTTGGCTTACGTTTTGTATTGATTGTTATCAAGATAGTGGTATCAGGTATTTTTTTTGGTTTCTGCCAAGTCCGTAAAATGTAGTTTCTCTGATGTTAGTTTCTTGGAGATAGATTTCTGTGGTCATAGAAATAGTAGAATTTGAGTTCTGATTTCATTTGTTGATTTTTAGGATTTTTTGAGTTACAGTTATTAGTATTTGTCAATTTATCATTTTGAGAACTTTGCTTTTGCTTCAGTGAGGTCTTGCGTAAGTGTAAATCCTGAAGCTCGTTTTCTTGTAATCTTGCACTTCATTTGGCACTTGCCTCTTACACCGGGAAAAGGACTTGTTATTTGATAAAACTAGTGTATCTCCATTGGGTGGTTCGAATTTAAGTTTGTCAGCGAACTGTTATGGTAGATCATGTTCTCTTTCGCTGAGATTTGCTTGATACGTAAAGTTTGGTCTGTTTTCCTGGCTTTTCCAGCCTTACGGACGCGGTAAAGATTACTTTGTTTTGTTTTTAGTGAAGTGCTACTTTATTACTATACCAGTTTGGTGAGGATGCTAAAAATCAGTTTTTCCTAAATGGGGGGGTTTGTTTTCACCATTTTTTGATTTGTGATTTTTAATTCTGTTCTATAACGTGCTTCAGTCCAGCTTTGATTTTTCTTTGACTAGTTGAAATTTTTTTGTGGACCTAATGGATTTTTAGAATTACTGAATTTTTTGGGTGTTTTACTGTACTTTTTGTTTTACTGTATTTTACAGGTTTGAATTTTTAGCGACACTTCACTCTGCTGTGTTTTTTTTTTTTTGGATTGATTTGAATTACTGTGAATTTTGTGCTCATATTAACGTAATGACTACTCGGTATGTTTTAGGTTTGGAGTTTACAATTTTTTTTAAAACTGATCTGCTCATTTAATTTCGAAATTTTTAAGTTTATTGTATTTCATTATGTGTATTGGTATCTGGTAATTGTAAATTTCCAAACGTTTTTTGTATATGCATTAGGTTTGTATTCATTATTTGTGTGTTATTTGATAATACATGTATTTTAAGCTATTCGTTTTTAATTTTCGGATTTTTGGTTGGATTCTTTTGGACAATCACGTTTTCTTTCTTTTGATTTTTTTTGTTGTTTCTCGCTTTGAAACAATGTTGGCCATCAAATTTTTCAAGTGAGTACTTTTAGTCCCATGCATTTATAATTACTCAAATGCGGCGCGTTAATTATCCTTTTTATTCTAATCCGACATTCAGATCTATCGTTTGACAAGTCTTCTTCAAACTTTGAAAGAGTGATTGTTCTTCCTTGGTCGAAGGTGAGACGAAGGGGGGTGAAATCTGGTTTCTTTTTAGGTCAAGTTTCTTGGCTTGCATTCTACTAAACTGTTAGTCAGTTGTTTGTTTTTCGAGCATTGTGACCTTCTACTAAGGGGTATTGTGGTGCTGAGTTCTTACATTACGGGGTTGTGGCTTTCACTTTCTCGGGTTGAAGGCTGCAGCGGGGAGTTGCTAACACAAAGATTTCTAACTACAGGGTTTTCACTCGCTTGCATTGACAACTCCGTACTCATTTAATGTACTCCATGATTGTGCTCAGCAGAAATTGTCAAAAATGTTCGACCTCAGGTGAAATTGTTTACATTAATGGACTGAAAAAAAAGAATAGATAAATAAATGTTCAGAAATGTGGCCACACAGAGATTGCAACACTAGTGTGATGTAATGAACTGAAAAAAAAAGTGAAATTATTTTTGTCATAAAATTATTGAATTCTTGACTTTGACATATTTTGTTTGTGATTAACGCCTTATTTTTTTATTTTTACTTATGTATGTGTTCTGAATATTTCTAAGTTTAATTAATTATGATTTAATTGATGATTAATTAATTCAGTAACGATTAATCTTACTAGGACTTAATTTTATGTCAGTAACGTTGTTCCTAATATATTCCTAACTCTGGTATTTCAGAATACTGAAAATTGGTACAGAAGATATCGTCGGATTATGACTATTTATTTTAAGAGTTTATTTTATCGCATTTTTTATTGATGTGAGGCGCCAAGTCATGATTTCGTTTACGTGGACTGGTTGGTTTCCGTTAAGGGTCTGCTAAGTTTATCGCATATTTGACGATTGAAGCGTGAAGTTTTTCACGATAACTGAACTTGCTTGGGGCACCTTCGGGGGAGCTATTATAATTGGAACAGCGAGTAACAAATTGCCTGTGTGTGGTAAAGAGGCGAAATTTGAACGAGTTACCTGCGTGTTGACTTTAGACTTTCAGGACCAAGCGATAGCCGTCCTGGCAGCAGTGCTCCTGTTTCTGTTTTACAGAAGAAAATTAGTTTCGCACTAGAAACCCGTTACCTGCGTGTTGACTTTAGACTTCAAGACCAAGCGGATAGTCTTCTGGGCAGTGCTCCTGTTTCTGTTCTACAGGTAAAAATAACGTACCATGTAGATTAGCCCGGCCGCGTCAACGCTTATTAAGATACGAGTCCTCCACTTCAAGATGTCCAACCAGATAAGTTTATATTTTTTTTTTTTTTTTTTTTTTTTTTTTTTTTGTGTCTGAACTTATGGATTTTAATAACTTCTTGGAAGTAAAACGCGTCGAATCTTAAATTAAATCTCAGGTTTGAATTGTTTCCTTTCCCTTTTAAATTACAGACAAACCTTAAGTTTTTTTTTATGAATTTAATGAAAAAAAGGGTAAATGACAAATTGATGACTTCTCCTTAGGTTAATTTTTTTCATTGTTATGTAATTGAATAAACTGATATTATAATCGGAAACCTATAACAGTAATGTTTTCTTTATATTTTAATATGTTTTTCCTATATATCTTGGTATGTTTTTCTTATGTTTCGATCCTCTCACGCGCGGTCCTGGGATGCATTTTTTCACAACGCAAAATGCTTTAACTTTCGTTTGGGTAATTAGCAAATCTTAAGATTTATTTCCTCCCTAAGAGTAGAACCTCTCACATATAGGAGTTTCTTATTTAACAATGGTACCTTGAAGTAAGCAATTTAACAATTTTTAAATCCACTTTACAATCTCTTTTGGAGAAATGGAGTCCTTTACTTTGTCCGTACGTACAGATATCCCCCCAAAAAATGTTCAAATGGGTTCAAGTGCGGTCAAAATGGATATTTTCTTTGAAATATGATACCCGAAATTCTTTGCGATTCCAATACTTCCTTTACTTCATAAGAGGAAGTAAGAATTACAATCTATGATTTGATTCTAAAAACATTAAAATATTTTCTAAAAATGGATGTTTAAGTTGCGATATCTATACCAGAGCATTTTTATATAAAACTGAAATGTATTTGTAATATAAATAACTCTTCTTAAGGCAGATGCAAAATAATATTTCTTTTTTCAATAAAATAACAGGAGCTGTCTTTGGTAATTTATTATTCCTATTGCAAATGTAATTTGCACAAAGATTTCAAACAGAAAATTACAAATTCATAAAAAGTACATACAAAAATTAATCTCCAGAATAAAATAATGAAAAAGTTAAATAACTAAACTTCTTAAACTTTCTTTATATAAAAATAATGTTGTTACTATTATTGAAGATTGTGGAGCTGTAAATGAATACCTAATAAAAAAAAATCTTATTTTATTCCTTACCTTTAAAAATATGTCAACTATCTTCAAAAGATAATATTCTTTCCTCGTATCGGACTAATAATAAAATGCGTATTTCAACCACTGCTAGCAAGTATGTTTGAGAAGTGGGATGACAGCTTTATTTTTTCAAATCATAAGCGATAAGGTGATAAGAACAAAGGAACTTTATCAGGGAAATCGATTAGTGAATGGTTTACACATTAATATTCGATAACGATTCTTTTCTTGCTGTGAGTAAGCTTTACAATTATATTTAAATTGCATTCTGTAATGAAATTCGAAATCAGAACTTATGAATTGAAGTGCTATACATGACATCTTATATCATTACATATGACTCGTAGGAAGGTAAACGATATCATTTGCTAATCTTATTAGCTCTCGCGAAAAGAAAATGACCAAGCGATACAAAGTCACAATTATGTTTTCTTCAAATCGCTGCAGCAGTATATTTGTTTCTTCGAACACGAATATCTTTAATGACAATGAAAGGACCGACATGCTGACCAAAGAAGCTGCTATGGGCAATGCCGGGGATGTGTCGATATTCAAGCATAAAAAAGAACTGTTATGGGTAAAATCAAGGATTTCTTTCATGACTGCTGGAAAGAGAAATGGAACAGGAAAAGGAAAAAGGAAGATTTCGTGATTTTCCTGGATTTCCTTTACGGCAAAAGGGAAAGATTATTTGGTGAACTTTTAGTGAAGTTATTTATGGAAAGATTATTTGGTGAAGTTTCTAAAAATGTTTGTGAATAATATTTGATTTTGATTACAATCAAACAATTACTGGATACGAGAGCTTCTGAAAATACTTAATTTGCAAAATAATAGTCTTTGTCGTTTTTGTAGCGCTGAAGGCAATGCAAGAATTTAGATTTTCAAAGAATCTGATGAGCTTTATAAATGGCAATACTGGAAATATTGGTTTGATGTTTTCAACTGTATTTTTGTTTCGATCTGTATTTTCATTTTTTTAAAATCTTTTAACTGTATTGTCTGTGTTGGTTGTGCTGCATTAATTATCGGCCAGAAAGGTTGCAGCACACTCGTATATTATGTTACATCACATTACATCACAAATATATTTGATGAAATTTTAAGATGGTAGAGGAAATTACAATTGCCCCTAACAATATAAAAAATTCTGTCCTTAATTTTCGAAGTTAAGCTGAAATGATTGCCATTCGTATCACACTAATAAAGAGACTATTCATATTCGGAATAAAAATTAACTCCACTACTGATGCTAGAGTTACAAGAAGAGTGTATTTTACAGTTTAATAGGCAGTTATTTTTAAAAGGTTGTATGTATTCATAAGAAAACCGGAAAGTTTCGTACTTTTATTAAATGCATAAATAAAAACGATAATTTTCTCTCAAGTTCATCAAGGATCAAATTATTTTTGTCTTTGTTTTATTTTTGTCTCTATTTTGAAACAGTCCATAAAATTTTTATGAGCTTCCGCTTTTATAATTAAAATGAACTTTTTCTAAGACGATCACTTAAAGTGGCAGATGATTTGTGTCTTCTGTAGGGTTGTCGTCTTAAAGAATATGACTGTCGATGATGATACATATCGGTTTGAATAATGTATTTAGGAATTTCAAAATTCTTGAAGTCTGTTAAAGAAAATTACTAAATAAAGATATAAATAAGAATAATAATAAAGAACTTATAGGAAAATTTTTTAAGTTTTCTAAAGTATTCTAAATCTTGAAATACTGAAAATTTGGTGAAGATATCGTAGATGCTATGAGTTATTTCGCATATTGATGAGTCGCATATTTGTTTACGGTACTGGTTGTTTACGTTACTGCGTTGAGTCGCATATTTGACTGCGTTGAGTTTACGATACTGGTGGCACCTTCGTTACTAATTAGAATTGAACAGCGAAACAAATGTGTGTGTGTGTGTGATTATGGCAAAGCCTCGAGGGCTATCTGCTTAAGAGGAGGGATGCCTTCGTGGAGGACTTTCTAAGGGAACTGGCTCGTATACACGTTACACATGGGGAAAACCAGGAAAACGCCCAGGCAGCCATCCCTTTCGCGGGATTCGAACTTCGGACCGAACTACCAGTGTTCAGCGATTTTACCGCTCGGCCGCTGGTGGGCCGAAACAAATGGTGGTGGTGTATTTAATTATGGCAAAGCACACAAGGGCTATCTGCCTAAGAGGAGGGATGCCTTTCGTGGAGGCTTTCTAAGGGAAACTGGCTCGTATACACGTTACACATGGGAAAACCACGAAAACACCCATGCAGCCAGCCCGTTCGCGGGATTCGAACCTCGGACCGAACTACCAGTGTTCAGCGATTTTACCGCTCGGCCGCTGGTGGGCCCCGAAACAAATGAATATGCAGAGAATGCACAAACGTGTTCTTAGCGTACGATAGTTGACTTTTACTCTATAGACACCGACTCCTAAGGTCATTTACCATCTTCGAAACAAAATGGCAACCATAACACCAAGCTTCACAACTTTGCTAACAGATAACACCATACGACAGCAGTAATCAAGCGAGCTGATTGTTGGGTCTCTCACACCGAGGACACCACTCTTATCGCTCACACCAACAAACTGATCCAAACAGTGACAGAAAATGCATAAACTGCCTTTTCCATTGGCAGGAAGATATTTGATTTCTACCTAACAGAACTTCAGTTAGACTAGCTACACCTTTTAACCAACTTCATGATACCGAGGAACCAACAGTTTTGCACTTCACAAACTTACTAAAAGACTGCTAATAGAGCTAATGTTGGGTTCTCCAGAGTTCTCAAGAGAGTTCTAATGTGTAAAGGAAAAGTTACACAAATCTCATATTATAAATTTCCTTTGTAATTTTAAAATACCGAAGTTTTATAAAAATATTCATCCAATAAAATCTGCTAACCAAATTTCGAGCAGACAGCTAGCAGTATATTAAAAAAATTTTGATTTAATGAATAACGGAATTATTTTATTTTGATAGCGAAATTTTTGGTAGTTAGAGTATATTTCATCTACTCGGCCGGATTAGGAAGTGAGCGTCTTAGAAAATGCTGTTAGAATGATCAGTTCTAACGTTTGTTCACGCTCTAAAAATTACTAATGCTGTAATCAAAAAACTAATTATTCCGGAGGAAAGGTCACCAGATGAAGATTCAGTGCGTAAAGCAACGGTATCTAGCAAAATAGATATTTATTGGAGTAGAAAGCCGTCCAACGGAATCGAAATCTCGATCTCTCGGCTATTAGCCGGCCGTGCTTTCAATTACACCATTAAGGAATGAGACAATTCTCGAATATTATAACGTTTATAATAAATGTACAAGAATAATACCACTTCTTGCCGATTGGTAAGTTCTTAGGTATAGGTTCTCAGATAAGGTGTTATCTGATCATTATATCCTATCTCGTTCATTTGCGCTTTTGCAGCTGACGATGGTGGTTCGGTCAAACCATCGAAACTAGTCCTGTGAAAATTTCAAATATAACGCTGATTTTTGTTGTTTGACTTCGGAATTAGTTCAATGTGTTGTTTAAATTAGCTTGATATATATAACCAACTTTTACTCTGTCGCATAAGACATGATGGATTTAAAGATGAAATGGTATTCATAATGCTAGTATATTGTGCATCATTGTATAAAGATACCCCCATGTATTCAGGAAATATAATGAAATAGACAAAACGTAAAAATAAGTTTAGGTTTTACGAGCTGAAACTCGCATCTCAAGGAGACAGCTATAGATATCAATTCAGCATTTCGGTGTTGACTGACATTCCTGGTAGATATAGTAAATGAACAAGCCTTGGAATGATTAGAAATATTCCAATTTGGCGATATAATCCTTAAAATTGGGCAACATGGACAATTAGCAATAGCCATTGTCAGCAACGAATTGTGAAAGCTAATGAGGTCTGACCTTTACCAACTGCAAAATGATCGTGGCAGTGACATTATTGAGCATATACTACTTTTCAAGAATTCGAAAGTTTTCTCATAACTTGAAGAAGTCAAAAAGCTCGATAGGTGATTTTCTCGTAAATTCACTGAAAACGATATGGCGATTTGCCTGCAAGTCTGCTCAGTTTCTCATCTTGAAGCAGAAGCATTCCATTTTTCATCAGAACAGGGACAAATGATGAAAAATGAATCTTACTTGCCGAAGACTAAATGCTTATAAAGTCTTAAATTGCAAACATAAATTGAGCTCCCAATCCAAACAGATAATGGTGACGGTTTGATGATATACAGCTGGTATTTCTTTAAATATAATTGAAACATAAATGCTGAGATGTATACACCCAGCTAGATGAAATGCAACCGTCATTTACGAGTTCAGCTTTCTAGAGTTATAATTTATTTCTACCTCCTTCTTAGCATGAATTCGTAGTGTAGTGGTCAGCACTCTGGGCGTGTATTCCAGAGAGAGAGAGAGAACGCACGCTGGGCGTGTATTCCAGAGGTCTGCGGTTCGATTTCCGTCGAAGGCGTTGCTGACTTTTTATCTCTCCTGCTTCAAAAATAACCTAATGTCTCTACAGTTGCGCCCGAACTAAAAGGGTGGTGGGTGATGATTCTCCACACACAGGATTTGGCGACTGGGTCCCCTAAAAATAAAACCCCAGTCGCCCTTTAAATGGAGGTGTATGTAAGGTATTTCTTCCGCCTTTTTAGCATGCCTTCGTAGTATAGTGGTCAGCACAATGGGAGCGTATTCCAGAGGTCCGTGGTTCTATTCCCGGCCGAGGCGTTGCTCATTTTCCATCTCTCCTGCTTCAAAAATAGCCTAATGTCTCTACAGAGTAACCAAGAGCGACAGGATTGTATCGTTCCACGTCAATGTGCGACAAAAATTTGAAAAAAAAAATTCCAAAAAATTTACGACTTTTACATTAAGGGACCCTTTCTCATGTACCATACTTACTTGGCCACTTCTGAAACGAATACTGCTTTTTAAAAATTTGGTTCATTTTTAGAAGGAGAAAGGTTCAGCAATGAAGCAGCTATCAAGAGGGTTTTCAAGAATTTTCCCTCCCGAACATATGGGCTCTGAACAATTGACATGAATATACTTTTATCTCGTTGAACGAAGTGCATTGTATCTAATGGTGCTTGTTTTGTTTAATGAATG